TAACACCAAACGTGTTCCATGAAAAACGTCATTTCGTATTTGTAATTGGACGAAAAAAGAAAAAAAAAAGAAAAAGAAAGAAGTCGTATCCGTTTTTTAATTCGTTAAAAACATAGCTATTCTTTTTAAAAAGTTTCTCGGCTAATTTAGCGCGACTCCTGGGAACATAAAATAATAGGGAAAGAAATGAAAAGAAATAAAAAAGAAAAGGTTCCTTACGACAAGTGATAGGAGTCAATGTTGTCTCTGACAGATGAATTCAAGGTTTGGCGATCGAAACTGCTTACAATTATCGTGGTCTTCTTCCTTTTCTGTTAATGTTATATCATCGCATGCGCTAGTTAACATTGCTTGCTTCGTACTTTCCCGAGTACAAACTTAAGCAGTTAGGGCTAATAAAATTGTCGTTGAACGTTTATTTAGCTGGAAAACTTAATGAAAATTCTCGATGGTACGCTTAGATAGAGAAAATAGAAAATAGATGGTAAGAGAGAGAGAGAGAGAGAGAGAGAGAGAGAGAGAGAGAGAGAGAGAAGATATTCGAGTTAATTGGAAGAATATCATAGTATTAACTGCATTACAAAGTAAGATAACATCTAATCTAGAGAAGATACATTTATCTTCGTCCTTGAAAAAAAAATAATAAGAGAAGAAATATCTAAGAGAAATAAAGATACGTCACCAGGAAAGTCCTTATGTTTCTTGAAAAATATATACTAACGTTCTTGAGACATGCATGAAGAATAGACAATATATTCCCCGATATATTTTGAAATATCAGGAACGAAGAGAATTTATTCGTTTTAAGTTGACTTTACGATAGAACGCTCGTCACTTTTTTTCTTTTTTGATTTCACCTTGGTCATTAAGTTAAAATGTTAAGATTAAATATTCAACTAGAGATTATAAGTACATTTTCTTAATATGATGAAATATGAAATATTCAATATGAACATACGATTTAAATGAAACGTAGAAAAAGTATTAGAATGAGAAAATAATCAACGTGACGATTTTTTTTTTTTCAATTCGAAAATCAAAATTGTCTATTAACAAAATATAATTTTTTCTGTCGATCTTTAGAATAATTGTAATTGTTTAATTATTCACTTAACGTAAAATTGAACCTCTTGTAGGTGAATTATTATTATTTTATTTTATTTTGTTGTTGTTGTTTTATTTCCTTTTGATAACATAAATTCAATTTCGTAGGGAACTTTGTCGAAAATGTTGTAAAAGTACTGTGATATAAAAAATTCTTCGAAGAAAAGATAAGAAATATGAACATTTTTTTCAAATGTAAAACCTTACGTGCTATCACAAACGGCTTAGGAAGTAAAACAGGGTGGTAAAGAGGTAAAACTGATGGTAGTTGTGGTCTGTACATTAGTGCCGAGTGAAAGAAAAGCAAGACCGTTTATGAGAGAAAGATAAATATCGTTTCGTTTGGTGCTTTGTAGGTTCGTGCAGAAACACACAACGATCGACTGTTATGCATATACATACGTAAATGACGAGAAAGTCCGTGAAGTTGGAAAGAATCTCTCACAGCAAAAAAAATGTCAATAAATGCGAATAGAAATAAATGATACGTATATGTAAACACATATGATTTTACTTTTAAAAAGTGTCAACGAGTTATTTATTCTTTTATTCTTTATCATATAAAAAAAATATAAAAGAAATATTGTAAAGTATTGAAAAATAATCATTTTAATTAGAGACATTTGTTTAAACCGTACAACAAATAATTAATAAATTAGAATGACTAAATAATATACGAGAACATTTTCATTTATTCGAAAATTTAAATTCTTTATTTAGAAAAAAATGTATTTATTATTAATAAAGATATAAGAAAATTATTTATTTATTGAGAAATTAGCTTATAAGTTTATTATTATAGATATCTAAGAATAATTGTTATAAAAATACTAAATGAAGTCGAGTATTAATTTTTTAATAGCTTACCATGTAATATTCTATGCTTTATTGATCCTTTAAAAAGTCATACAGACAAAGTATGAAATACAATTGCAGCGAATGAAAAGAGAACGACTTCTAGTAAAAAATCCATTTTTTTCTACTCGAAACGACACGAACAAGATCCTTTACATCGTCACGAACGATCAACAGTAACGTACTAAGATTAATAATTAATTTTAATATTTGCCAACATTTTTAACCATACAAAACACCTTCGACAAAATTCCAGGAACTTGAATATCAATAATAGATAACAAAAAAATTAATGATGCATAAAAGAAAGAGAAAACGAACTTTAATGGCAGAAGAATTCGTTAATCTATGAAAATACGAAATATTCCAATACATGTAATTAACATTAAAGATTTCACGAGTAAAATGAATTTTTGATAACCTATAATAAATATCAAAAAATGAAGAAAATGTGAAAACAATGTAAACATTTGAAAGTAGACTAAAGTTTTCTAAAATAAAGAACTTTTTTCAATTATTGAGAATAAAGTCAACAAATAACTTCGTTCGAACTAGTTCGTCAAACATAATTCAATTAAAAATCATTAATTATTCTTGCAAAAGATGAGTTTATTTAACTAATTAATATTATGAGGAAAGAAATGAATATACCGTTTTCAAAATAAAAATTTAAATCAAAATCTTTTTTTTCAATTATACATTAATCATTTTTTTTTAGATGTTTTATACTTACTTTCTTATGAAAAAAATAAAAAGGGATTAATAAAAAAAGAAATGTTTCCGTATAATAATTGTATATAAAAACTCATATTTCAATTAACATCAATCTTAGACTGTATTTTTTTTTTTATTCTAAAACAATTGAACACATCTTTACAAGTAACTTATAATTGTTTTTTAATCAGTCCAATTATTAATTTGCTCTTATTCATACAAATGGAAGAAATGGAAGAAATTTAAATTGCAAGATGGGAAAGAAGATGAAGAAAAGAAAAAAAGAACAATTAAAAGATGGAAGATAGAAAAATTATTTATTAAATCGTTACATAAGAAATTTCAACGGTTGCTTTTAATTTTTTCCTTTTTCTAGTTTAATTTATTAAATCGATGAAATTACCAAGCAACATTTTGGTTCGTCATTCAAGCCTCGAAAGGGGAAGTTGATTAGAATAAAGACAAGTTTACAGGACCGTGGGACGATTAATTTTGAACGTATACTGGATAGAAAGTTGCATTCGGTAGAACCGGCAACATACATAAATTTATCTGAATATCATTCGTGGGACTAACTGGAAACATTCTTACCACGGGGGTGGTAACGAAACCATCAGGTAACCACCAGCTGTGCGAGTATGACATACAATTCCCCTCCCTCCCTTCCTTCCTACCTTTCTTTCTCTCTTTTCGATCAAGTAAGTTATGTTGTTGCTCGGAACAATAGAAACAATGGTTAAAGGTTTTGCCACAAACAAATATCTAACGAACGCCTTGAAATCTGAAAATTAAATCATTTTTGGGAAATCTAACGGAAACAACTTTTACACAAAGTATACATATACCTACGTATCTTCCGTACTTTGTATAAATTTCTTCTATTCGTCATTTTTATCATTATTAAGTAAAAATGTAAAATCATTAAAATTGATTGGAATTTGGACAAATCAATGAAATGTTGACCCGAAACCTTTTTATTTTTCTTTACTTTAATTATTCTTAATTCGTTTGGAATAATAATGAAAAAAGTTAAATTCCAGTTATACTCGAGGACAGTGGAAAAATTGAAAGATCGATTAGTAAAATGATTACTTTTGCAAATTAGATTAATTTCTTATTGACGATGATCGTCTTTCACGATTTAATCAAAAATATGTGGACCGTGATTATCGATAGGATCAATAATTACAATATTGAGTGTACCAACATCTGTCTCTCGTTTGGTATCTTCTACTTTCTGATTTCATTGGAGTGCCTGTTGCTTCACCGCGATTCGATCGATTATCCGGTCGGAAGCCGAAGCTTTTCGTGATACTGTTAAAATCAAATTTTAACGGATGATAAAACTCATTATTATATAACTGGTATGCTCCAATATTTTTGTAATTTCTTTAAAATCACACAAACCGTTTATTTTCGATCACTCCAACAGTGATATCCAATAAACACAGCAAAAACTTGGTTTTTACGATATTAAATAAAACAATATTTGTTTTCTTCTCATTTAGACAATTAATTAATCGAATAAACATTATTTCCAACATCTACGCGATATTATTAAATTATCTCTCTCCCTCTTTTTCTCTCTCTCTTTTTCATTCGTGCATGTTGAATGAATATTATGTAATTTTTATTATTGTTTATTTCGAAGAGAAATTTTCATTTCATTTACACGCAATTTACCTTGACCAAAACCAGTTTGCCTCTTTTTTTTTTTATTTTCTTTACTTAATTTTAATTTTTTAATCAAATATGATCGAAAAGAAAAAAAGTCCTGTTATGAAAATAAAATATTTCTTATATTCACCAAAAATACTGAAAACGAATAGATTTGTTTAACAATCAATTTCGTAATGAACTTATGTATACGTTCTAATGAAACAATTGATTCGATAATTATTCTCTGATCTTTCTATCAATGCATATACGTGGTACATATGTGCTTAAATATATATATATATCAATTAAGACTCAACCGAATATGAATATGACATAACACTGATCATTAAACGCGAAATTTGTTAATCGCCAACCGATTCGTTTAATTAACGCCCATGTAAATATAATAACACTTATCGGTTGACCTAATCTCGTCACTTTCTATGAAATTGTTCTTTATATCTTTTTAAAAAGGCACTTAATCGATATTTTAGTTATAACATTTTTACACCGTCGATTAATTTATTCTTCTCTTTTCTTATTTTAAAATCTTTTATTTTTTTATCATTTAACAATTCATATAATTAAAATTGAAAATGGTTTTGAGGAGATATTAAAAAAAAAAAAAAACAAAAAAAAAAACAAAAAAAAAACAACACAAAATTTACCTTTCGATGTTAAAATAGTAGAAGAAAGTAAACGTTGTCCGTCAATGTTCAGTTTCTTCCTTCCCGTCTAAGAAATCAGTCTAAAAGAGGATCCAGTTGAAAACTCGGATTATGGTGAGGATGAACCTTCTAGGAAAATATAAAGATGATGTCCCCCGTTCGTTGTCCTCCAAGTTGAGACGAACTCGAGCCGACGGACAGTGTTGAACTGACGCTCCGCGTGCTTCAACTTATACATAGGATGGTGGCGCGGTGACGTCACACTAAGACGGACCAATCAGAACTGTGAATTGTGGGAAAATGAGGGTGGGAGGTAGAATAGTCATGTTACGTTCTTTCTCACCCCTTTGTTCACCACCCCTTCCTTTCTTCTTCGTGTTACTTCGACTTTCAAAATAGCCTAAGTACTCTAACACACCTGAATGACTGTCGTCGTCATCTTCTTCCGCTTCTTACTTTTCCGGTTCCCTTCTTTTAAAAGGTAGAAACAGACAACTACTAATTTTTCGTTTTCACCATTTCAAACCCGATCCATCTTATCGATTATCGACTACAAAAAAATTGCGATGAAATCTTTTTATTTATTTATTTTTTTTTTCTTTTAATAGAACCTTTTTTAATTTAGTTAATTTTCGATTTTGTTTTTTTTCTTCTATTTCTTTTATTCCATAAATAAAGAAGAAATACCGTAACAGTTGTTAAATTATAATTGACAGCATTTTCTTCGAAAACTCGATTATCGAGATTGCAATCAAGAAATATCCGTTCTTAAAATTCCTAGGAATATTCTTCATTGCATTTATTATAAAGATTTGAATGTCACTAAATCTCTCTCTCTCTCTATCTATCTCTCTCTTTCTCTCTCTTTCTCTCGTTTTAATGGAAGTTACTTATCAATGAGCTTTATCGTGTTTTACGTACGATTGTTCCAGTGAAGAAACACAAATAATAAGTCCGGGGGTAGGGGGGAAAAAGTTAAGCGATAAGCATAGGTCGTGTTACATTTGTCACGGCAATTTGTCATACCATTAGGGTCTTGATATCGTTGACTAAATTTTTTGAGTGGCCCTGACATTACGCCTATCACATAATGTGTATTTTGCGTGTATGTTTGCATAATCCGTTTGGCGTTACAACATTCTTGCATTAACGAACACGTTTAAGTTAGGTTTGCTACTTAGGATGTCCAAACCGAAAAAAGATAAAAATGTTCTATTCGAGATGCGAAAATATGGCGATGGTTAAAAATGATGGATATAAAAATCACGTTTACTTTTATTGTCTAGTTCAACTCCTCTATTCAATGGAAGACAATGGAAATTTTTCTTGCTTGTTATCGAAAAAACTGTTGTCTCTCTTTTTCTTTCTTTCTTTCTTTCTGTTTTTATTTTGTTCTTTTTTACATGTGAATGGATGAATTAATTTTTTTTTTTATGTTTTGGGCAATTTCAAAACGGAAATATTGTATACAAAATCTTGTTAAAGCTCATAGTTTTTGTGTTATAAATTTTTGAAAATTATCGTTTGCCCGTTTGTCAGCCTTCTTTATACGCTGAGAATCTATTTTCTGCTTCCGTTCGCTACCTATCAATTCTAGGATATTACGGAAACTATTTGTCGGATTAACTTGAAATTTTCAGAGAATATTTTCGAAACATCATACTTCAAGAAAATGCAAAAGAAAAAAAAACAAATCCATTTTTTGAAAATCCTGACTGCATCTCCACCTTTAAACAAAAGTAATCAAAGAAATTAAACCGCGATTAAATTTTTCGTATCGTTAATCTTAGTAGATTCAATTGGAATGAAATAGTCATTCTAATGGCAGAGAAGGTTTTCAAAATGGCGTTTCGAAGAAATGACTTTCTTGGTGAAGCAACATAGAGTTTTTATCGGCAATTCTTTCCAAAGAACCTCGATTCCTCACGGATTTCTCTTTAGAAAATGTATCACAAAGAATAAAGCGAGTGTAAACTAAAGAAAGATAGAGAAAAGTTGAAAAAAGATAGAAAATGTTCTTAGTTTCACAGTCGATCCGCTACGGTCGCGCACCGTTACCATCGTCCAAGAAAGAAAATGGTCTCAAGTGAGTACTGTTAGCCCTCCTTCTTACATACACTTTCTTTATCCCTTTCCCTCGTTTACTATAGAAATTCGAATCGTGAAAGTTAGACTCGCATACATTTTGATAAAGTAAGTAAATAGTCTTGCTGGTTCCTTTTTCATGGTCTCCTCCCTGAAGCGAGTCCTTCGAGACAAATTTAATAATTAAAAGATAGATGCGTTTAACCTTCGATCCATAATTAGCCTTGCACATATATACAAAATTATATTTCATATTATTTTATTCACAGTTATAACTAATTACTTACATTAGTTTTTCATTCAATTTTCATTTCATACAAAAATGTATCAATTGTTATAACAAAATATTACTATTTAACTATTAAACAAATGTTCTTTAGACGTTATATTTATACGTTATTTTATTTAATAAATGATATTTATTAAAAGTTAAATGTTTCTTTATTACAAGAAATATTATAAAATTAATAAAATTACATTATTTTCTTACATTAGATAAAAAGAATAAACACTTTCAAGACGAATCGATTTCGAATTCTTTCGTTAAATCGATTCAATTGATTAATTAGTCTAGACGAAAATGAAAACTAAACCGCGATGTATACTTTGGTTACCATCGTTTCTCATTATTTCTTTCAACGAACTAATCCTCCAATATCATGTCGCTTTTAAATGGAACTTAAATGAAACTAAAATAGCTTCTTGTGAGAAATGATACAACAATGGTACATGAGTGTATACAATATGCAAATAATTGCGTATATATTTACATATATGTATCTATTTTGCAATTTTATTTTTTTATTATAACATATGTATACATTTAAATATTTATAAGTATTTTTATATAAAAACGTATTGTGTGTTTCAATAATATAATATTTAGGTACGTATGAATGGGCCATAAAATAATTGGAATTTAAATTCGATAAATTTAAATTATACTACGATTGCGTGCTATTTCAAAATCAAATTGAAATACCACAATTATAATAATTCAATTAATTGAAATAAATTTCAAATCGCACGGAATTTGTATTGTGTCCACACAAAATATTTATTGCCAATTTTTACATTATGTGCATAATTTAAATATTTAAATGAAAATTAAGTACATCATATTTTAATTCCGTCAAATTTTGTTCAGAAATTTCAATTACATACATAATTGTAATTCTCACATTACAATAGGGGGGCATTCAATCATGTACATAATTTTAATTCGAGTATTAAAATTATTGAAAATATTCTAAATTTAAAGAAAACGTGACAGTCCTATGAATCACTGAGATATTAAGCAGAGAGAGGGATATCTGTCTCTCGCACTCGTTGGAATTCGTTGTGCGTATCCAAGTATTAATGTAGGGGTGAGGGCATCCCTTCGGTATACATACTTGTAACGGTTTTCGAATTTTCATTCTGTATTGAACAGTTGGACGCTTCGGAGCAGAAAATTCATTTCAACGTTACATATCTCAGTTTGCAAAAGTCTAGTGCTGTGTAAGTTTTGTATGCTGCTTCTACACACTTCGAACGTGTTTTTTTGAAGAATATATATCGAGGTAAGTTCAATATTCACATATTTTTTTTATATACAATTATAATAATAGTTAAAAGAACTTAGACATATTAGGCTCGCTTAGAATTTCTATACATTTTCGATTGTAAGGAATTAATTTTTCATTACAAAGTTTGCGCAAAGTTGATCAATGAATTTATTCGAAAAAATAAAAAGAAATAAGCTGACTACCCCTACCCTCGACTCCCCTCCCCACAAAAAAATATATAAATCTTCCTTCCGAAAGTCAATAAAAAACAAAAAAAGGTTCGCATCGGGAAATCGTTTCGCAGACAATCGATGAATTGAAAAATAAAGTCTCGTTTATTGTTTGTAGTACTCGTTTAAATAGTGTATAGATGGAAATCGAAGTTTTATGCGTTTATTTTCGTGCTTTTATCTCGTCGATCGATTGTGAGCGTTAATATAAAAAAAAAAAAAAAAAAAAAAAAATAGAGTAAGCAAAAAATCTTACTGTCAAGATAAAAGCAAACGCGTCGTTTAACACGCGTTGCAACCACTTCAAGACATTGTAGCAACAATAAAATGAATGTTCTTTTCAAGTGTTACGACACCATTTGAAAAAAAAAGAAAAAGAAAGAAACGTTCTTGTAAGAAAAGTATAAAGCATCTCTGACATGAGTCTTCCTTCGCGAATTTAAAAAGAAAATATTTGTTATTCTATTACACACACATGATTTTAAGAAATGATTTTTAAAAATTACATCATTAATTAAAAATATAAAAAAGAAAAAGAATACAATATTTTCTATTTCCAATTTCTTATTATTCGATTAGTAATTTTTTTTATTAAATTTAAACAAAATGTTATATGGTTTTTATAAGCTGATTCGCATGAAAAAAGAAAAAAAAGTAGAGACAAGTAGTACAAGCATATTTGACATAGCACACGCACAAAACTAAATTTAAATATTCTTCTCTTCTAAAATTAAAATAATATTTCTTAGCACGAAACGTTTCTAAAGTTAATAAATATTATAAATAAATATCACGTGTAAAGCATTTGACTTTACCGATACAAAGGATTTTATGTAACTCACAGAAATAAAATGTGTGTGAGGAGTGTGACAGAAAGGTAAAGGGAGGGCGGGGGGATTAAAATCTCGAGAATTCTTAATTATCTCCGAGCAGTATAAATCACGAACGATACGGTGAATACGTGTAAAAAGTAGACGTAAATTACGCTCTGTTAGAAAGAAGAAGAAGAAGAAGAACGTGGGCGAGAACACTGTTGAGGAAGTAAAGAAAAAGGTAAAAAATGAATAAAAAGAAAAAGAGAAAAAAGGTTTCGAAGTGGTTCTTTCTTTCTTGCTACTTTTTCTTTTTTTTTTTGTTTTATACTACCATCTCGTGATGAACCTTAAAGCCATTATACACACGTCCATCCCTTCGCGAATCGTCTGGCATGTAAATGAGCCACCTGGTTTACACCGAAGTAGAGAGGAAAACAAGAAAAAGGACAGCCCTAGTTTAATGCATTCTTACTAAAAGCGCTCTCGTGTGATATTTCTTGTAATCCTTTGAGTTTTTCCAATGGACAATGATATAATAAAATTGACTACAACATTCATCAAATTTGTATAATTGTCAAAGGAATTCGATGAAATTTACTATTTGTTTTTATTTTCAAACTTTTGTTTTTTTGTTTTTAAATCGATTTCTAATTCTAAATAAGATAAACGTTTACTTTATATCTATCTCGACATTAATTATCGTTTTTCACGTACACTCATTAAAAGATAATCACGGTGATTCAATTTACTATTTTATGTTTACAATTAACGTTGAAAATAAAATTGTTGGATATAATAGAAATATACAAAGATTTAGTATGGGGAAAGTAAATGAAGGTGAAAAATAAAGTGTTCGTTCGAATTTATTTGAGAAATATTCTATTTGAAATGTTTTTTTATTTGTTTTTTTTTTTATCTTTTAACTTGAGATTACGCGTAGGACAAAAGTGGAAGATAAATATTAACGTAAGATAAAACGATCATCAACGAATTAAATTGGAAGAATTAACAAGTATGAAAACTAGTCTATTTCTTCTCATTCTGAAGTTCCAACGTCCATTATACGAGAAATCTCTTTAAAATGTATAAATCATTTTACTTGATTCCATTATCTTATGAAAAATTCACGTTGAATAGAACAAACAAAACTCTCATTTCAACTTACAGTCAATAAATATAAGAAAAATGAGAATTTGTTGTTTTATTAAAAATAAAATACTATAATTAAAAAAAATACAATGTTTTGTCCAGCTAATTTTGTTTATACTTTATGGAGAAATTTTTTTGCAATTTTAAATGAAGATAAATGTTTTTTATGTTCTTAACTAAAACCCAACAAATTAGAATAGAAATGAGAAAAATTACGAATAGCAAGATATAAACGTCGTTAAGATTTTGTTCCATTCCATTACAAAATAACAATTTTTGTGATTTAAAAATACAGCAAAATCTATTTCTTCTATAAGACGAATAATATTTAAATTTGGAACTATTTTTTAATTTTCAATAATTTCCGATAGAGGGCAATAAAGTTGCATCGAGGTTGCACACGGCCATCATTTATTCTCATATCCATGAAATTGCGCGTTAATGTACAAAGTACACCATCTATCGGTAGCATGTTGAATAAAATGAAATCATCAACAGAAAAAACCTTTATTTCGTTTGACATATAATTTCAGTTGTCTTTAAGTGTATGTAACTATACAAGATCGACCTTGTAACAAAAACGTGTTTAAAGTAAAAATAATAAAAAGTATAAATATGGATAACAAATGTGGCACCATAAAAACTAACGAGGAAATCATAGAAGAACTTACGAGAGATCTGGAAAGTTCCATAAATGTGGATGACGATGAAAATTCAATAACCAAAGAAACTCGATATCAATCGAGTGAAAGAAATAAAAGTAGTTTATCGGAGGAATCTAATAAAGATTTAAATAATCACGGTGATTCTAATGGTAACGAGAAGGATGACAATGCAGATAGTAAGAAGACTAATGCTGACAATATAGATGAAGAATTTCTTAAAAAAAGAGAAGAAAATCTCAGCGAGACTGAGAAAGTAGTCAGTACATTTTCTTTTATCTATTCCCTTTTATTTTGAGAATAATTTTTTTTTTAATATAAATAACTATAATGTAAATTATTGTTTACAGACTCTTAAAGATGAAGCAGAGAAAATTAAGAATGAAGGCAACACTTCTTTCAAAGACGGAGACTATATAAAAGCTATATCCCTCTATACGCAAGGTTTACAAACATGTCCTTTAACATATAGTAAAGAACGTGCTATTTTGTATTCTAATAGGGCAGCAGCTAAAATAAAATCTTTGGTTAGTATTCTTTAATCAATTTTTATTCATTTCTCCATTTTACTTAATATATGTACATTAGATTGATTTATGACGTTGCATCGTTGTAGGACGAAAAGGAATCAGCTATTTCTGATTGTACAAAAGCGATTGAATTAAATCCAAGCTACGTAAAAGCTTACATTAGGAGAGCACAATTGTACGAAGAGGTAGATAAATTAGATGAAGCTTTAGAAGATTACAAAAAAATCTTAACATTTGATTCTAGTCACAGTGAAGCTAATTATGCAGTTAGAGTAAGTTACTAAGTCTGATTATGTTTTTATTAGCATTTTTATACCATTCAAATTATGTATTATCATTTTAACATCATTTTAGAGGTTGCCGCCTTTAATAAATGAAAGAAATGAAAAATTAAAGACGGAAATGTTGGGTAAATTAAAAGACCTTGGTAATATGGTATTAAAACCATTTGGTCTTTCGACGAATAATTTTGAATTACAGAAAGATCCAAATAGCGGTGGGTATTCTGTTAAATTTCATCAAACTCCTAGATAACAAGCATAACTTTAATTTGTTTAACAATAAACACAAATATATGATCTGGAGACAGTCAATGGATAAAACCGGACATATTTATAATAATCTACACGAATATCGTTAAATACTTCGTTCCTTATTATAAAAAGATGTATACATTGTAAACATAAATGGCTAAAATAAATATTAAATTGTAATAGATTAAGAAAAAGATAATCTTGCAATCTTAAAAAAGATAATTAAAAATAAAAAATATTGTGTCCTAGTGAATGCAGCGTTTTTTACACTAAATGGTGCGAAGTTGTACGTCATGTAATGTGAATCGATCGATCGCGCGTGTCGTATCTAAATGTTCCATCAACAACCTCCTCGTTAATTGTAGCTTCGTAATACTATTACAAGTGCATAACCCGATGAACATCATGTAAGTTATATCAAAAAACTTCCTTTAATCCCAATTAATACCAATAATAAGATATTTTCGATACAAATAATTAAAAATTATTGCAAGAGAAATATTAAATACGAACGATAATTGATCGAAAAAAAAGTGACGTGTCGTAGGTACATTCAAATAAGACGAATTTTCCCGCGATTTCGTGGAATTTATAATATATGAAAAACTATTTTCAAAATATAGTAATAATCAAATCAATATATTATATACAAACAGATCAAATAGTTTTAATCGAAAACCAAAAGATGAATGAATGAAAAAAATGAACAAAAATTTGACAGCTAACTGTAGTGACGTAATGCGTGTCAGCAATTCCCGCATGCGCAGTGCTATATATCACCGGCACGACGCGAACAAGGGAGAGTTTTGCACTTTGCGCCTCGTACTTTTAACTCAGTGGAAGGGGAAGCAATTAAAAGTAGGGGAAGTTACACCCACTACCACCTGCAGTAGAGCAGCGCGCGCGGTTAGAAACAGTTGAACGTTTGCGCACGACCTAACGTTGTTTTATTTCACCGGTTGTGAGAGAAAAAATGGGAGAAAAAAGAAATTTTATTTTCAAAACTAGATCAACATTTTCACGAATAGAATCGAATTCAAAAACAATTTAAATGAATCGAATTAGCGTATAAACGCGACTAGGATTCGCCGATAAAATATAATACGAGATAAGAGAGACTAATAAAAATAACAATAAAATACGAACGATTGTTTTCTCTCTCTGTTATGTCGGACTAATGATGTCACTGAAAGGATGACCGCGTGGGTGTTTCGCAAATCGCATCAATTACACAAAGGATTTAAATTCTCGATAGAGTATTTATTTTCTATTAAAAAAGCTTAATAGAAAAAAAAAAGGAAATAAAGAAAGAAATAAACAAATCCTTTTTTGATCGATTGATTGTTCGCTGTCAAAGACAGGGATTGTTAGCGAATAGTAATAGTAGTAACACGAAGTGCTATATTTCTTTCTCAAATCGATAATTCGAATTGGCAGTAACGGAACGATATAAGGTCCGTAGAATCCTAAAAATATCACGGAACGTTGCAACGGGTAAGATTCGATAGACTTTATATCTATCCTACCATCCCTTTTCTCTTCTCAGTTTTTCTCATACCCTCCTCCTCTTACTCCTCCTCTTTCCTTACCACCCTATCCCTCTCTTGCCCATTACCACCCACCAACCCACTCCTTCTCCTTATCCTCCTCTCTCGATTCTCTGTCATATCCACTCGAGAGTGACGCGGTAGAGTTCGCTCGAGGAGGAACCCACCCCTGCCTGATTCTCATCTCCTAACCGGTCTCCTCTCACCACCCCTTGCCATCACCCTCGCCCTCACGCGGCCGGCCGTGTGCGAGGTGGCGGTGTGCAGTCGTTTCGCGATACCAACGAATATCGCGATATCGACGAGGACGACGAGGACCGAAAGGAGCTCAACGACGACGATAAAGACGTCGTTGTCTAATATTTCAAAGTGACCAACATGTGTGACATCATTAATCAAAACGAGGTAAGTCATCAAGTTCGTATCTTCGAAAGATTTTTTTCTTTTCATCCCTCTCTCTTTCTCTTTCTCTTTCGTCTTCTTACTTCTTTCTATTTGTATTTTTGTCTTTATTTGATTAAAAATATTTTATTGGAATTGATAGAGAATTTGAATAATTGTTAGAAGTCCGAAAAAAAAAATGGGTTTAACTTGTCGCTCTTAACGATCCGCCGAAGAAACGACGAATATGGGTCACTTTCACTGGTAAGCCACTTGGGCGACAAACCGCCACGTTCCTTCCCTTCTCTCTCCCTCTCCCTCTCTCTTTCTTTTTCTCACTCTCATTTGCTCTCTTTATAATATCTAACCGTCTTTCTTGCTCTTATTCTTCTTCTTATTCCAACAACGTGACGTAAAAAAAAGTAACTAAAAAGAAAAATGGAAAAAAGGAAAGAAAATTGGTTGAGTATCGTCATTTCTTTTCATATCCCCCATTCCAAACCCGCAATTTTCATTGTATAAGAGATTAATTCGCGAGTTCATTGATGCGAAGATTTACGAGGATATTAACTTCGATATATTCATTGATATTAATAAACCACCATCATCATCGTGTTCGCTTGCGCGCGAATACGATCGATCGGGAGGAAGTTTGCCGATTTGATTTTGAACTCGTAAATGATTATTACTAACTTATCATTGATTAGCTCACTACCACGTGATTTTCGATGGCAACGTAAGCGTTAATATCAATGATTTTATGTTTGTTTCTGTTCGATCGTGAATTAACGTGCATATTAATATTCATAGAAATGTTTGTATTGTATCGTAATGAAACAGTTACGATGAGAATTTATTTGATCTGTTTTTATTATTGATTCAAACCCTTTTCGGGCGAACGTGCGCGCGCGCGCGCTCGTTCTCTTTCTTTCTTTCTCTCTCTCTCTCTCTCTCTCTCTCTCTTTTTCTTTTTGTTGTACAGATATATCCTTTTTGAAATAATATTTTTAATCATATATATATATATATAGTTCGAAAAATTGTTTATTTAAATTTTATTGAAATATGAAGTATTGTAGAAAATTGTCCGTTTAATTGTGAACTAAATAACAAGGCGATATTTATTGTTTAACTAATTTATTCATTTGCATTTGAAACCCGTTAAATTGTTCAAGAAACTTTTGTTTACGACAACAGAATAAATTGACCCGCTAGAACGTAGGTACGTCATAGCATTCGATCTTTACGTTTTTCATTCACAAGGTACATTTTACGTTCGCCACGAGTTATAGCTTTTCATTGATATCTATTGTCGTATAATACATTCCCTGCTCTAATCATAATTATGTATTTAAATGAAAACACGTGCACGCGTATGTGTATGGGTGTGTATACACATATGTACTTCTTCAATTTTTTTAAAGACATTGAGAAAATAAACCGAAAGAAATAAAAATGATATTTTAGTTTAAGGAAAAGACAAAAAAATCTATTTTGAAGCAAAAATGGAAGTAGGAGAATAAAAACATTCACGATTATTTTTTCTCAAAGTGCCGTGAAACAAAAAATTGTACACTGACCCAGTGCACCAATTAAAAAAAAGCCCCGGAAGAGTAGTGTTGCTTACATTATGTTTACATCATGAATGTCGTCTCTTAGGAGCAGTTTACGCATGCGACGCCGACGTATCATCGATCTGCCTCGGCACCGTTACATTTAATAACATTGCACATTATTACAGACGAACACATGACCGTGCACCGTATATACGTTCAAAGAAATTTATTCTATATTTAATACTATCAAATATTATCGCAAAACGAAATATATTCGTTTAAGAAGGAAATATTTTCAAATAAATTTATTCCAAAAATAATAAAGGAAATAATCAAAAATCGTGAAATATGAAAGTTGAAAGTACGTCAATATCCTGTTTAACAGAATGTCAAAATGAATTTTATTCTCATCGAAAATAAGTTTTCTTAATTTTGTCGAGTTTACACCGTTAACGTAAATAAAACATACTGTAGTCGTTACGAAAAATGTTAGGTGAATTTGAACGTGATAGTAAAAGAAAATGAATCTTCACTAGCTTAATAGTTGGTAGGGAAACGTAATACATGAGATGAAAAGGGATAAAAGTTGACCGAGAAAAAGAAAAGAGATAAGAACGTTACCTTATATTCGTAACCCTCGTCTAATATAGATCGTTCAATATCTTTCTACGCATCGTTTTCTCCATTTTCTATCAAAGAAAATAGGATTATTTTCTCTTTCTCTCTCTTTTTCTATTTCTAACTTCTTGATTCTTTTTATCTCTCTTTCTCTTCCTATTCTCTATTTCTAAAAGCGACTCGAAAATAGGATATACATAAGCCAAATAGAAAAAGGTAATTACGAAAGAGATAAAATAATAATATAACCTCGGATGATTCAAAATATACGTGCCTATAACGTTTGTCTTTTATATACTTGCACGTGGTTTTGTATGAAAAGAGTATATCCAGCGACTCGGATAATTATTGGTACGATTCAATAATTTCCCAGGGAAATAGGATCGATCGTAGAAAAGTAATTTGATTGATGATGTTTCATTAAAGCGTAACGTCAAATCAGATAGAAAATAATTGGAGAATATTGGTAAAAATACTAAAGACAAATTTTTGTTCAAAGTCAACACGAATTTGACGAAAGAAAAACAAATAGAGAGGTTTGTCTTTGATATCTTTTGTTCAATTAAGGTTTCATAAAAAAAAAAAATCATTAAAAACTACTGGTCGAATTAAAGAATAAGTGTTCATAGAGTTTGGTTTTATTTTCAGAGAATGAAGTATCGGCACGGCCGTGCATCAATACATCGAAGAAAATGGCCCTTGCGATTGGCACTCTTTCTTGTCTATGTTCTCGTGCAATTTGTGGCCTCTTCGAAGTTACCAATCACACACTCATCCTCTTCCTACTCGTCCTCGACAGAGTACGAAGAAAGTTCGACGTTGGAATCGACAATGTCCTCGTATTACCCAACATCGACCGAATCCGAGTTAACATCCTCGATGATGCAAATGTCGATACCGGGGTCAATTTCCGCTGAACATCCATCGAAGAATACGAAGGAAGAGAAGAGTCATACTAAGGAGAGAAATAAGAATGAAAAAAATAATGAGAAGACGAATACGAAGTCGAGGATTCGTGAACAAACGAAGGAGGAGCCTAAAGAAAAGGAAACAGAAAAAGTAACTAAGGTAGCTGTTGCTGCGACAGCAGGTGCAGCAGCGGGTGCAGCTGCAGTTGTAGCCAAAACAACTCCTAACAGTATCGTCGTGAGTTTCGCATCTATTTTAATTGATCAGTCAAGTCGAGCGTTCCTTACTCGCTGGCTTTTCTGATAATTAATAATATTGCAATTATTCAGAACAGTAAATTATATCAAAATTTAAACAAGTAACTATTCCGAATAATTGCCAACATTATTAACTATGATGATGATTAAACAGGCATCATTTTATAGACTACTCCCACGATACGAACAACAACTCCCAAATACGTTCATCCAACATGGAGACCAAGAAGAGAAAATTGTTCGCCACCCGCTATCGAACAATTCCCACGTCCTTTGATGGGTCCTGAAGGCAGAAAACATGGTGGTCTTATCATACATATTCTCGTCGCTGCTTACACATTTCTAGGCTTGGCAATCGTCTGTGATGATTATTTTGTTTCTAGCCTTGACAGAATTTGTGAAGGTATGTGTGTACGTATGCGTAAGTTTATATGAAGTCGTGAACTTTATTCACAAAGGAATGATGAATCTTTTATATAACATCGGTCGATACTTTCAATGATTTTGTCACGGTTCTACGTGGCGGTTCGAGAACAAAGTTCGGACTTCTTTCAGAGTTAAGGTTATCGCCGGATGTAGCAGGAGCAACCTTCATGGCTGCTGGATCTTCAGCACCAGAGTTAGCTACAGTCGTCATTGGTGTTTTCTTTGCTAAAGATGACATTGGAGTAAGTGCGATTACCACTTGACATACATTTACAATCCCTCACAGTTCGCTGACCGTGCAGTGTATCGGTTTACACGGTTGACTCAACTTACTCGTCATTTCTTTATATACAAAATGTGCTTATTCAAAGCAAGTTATATCTCTACCGTGATAAATAACATAAATCAAATATTTACCTATATTCTATATCTACTTATAGCCTAAATATTTGAATTCAATTAATATTCAACTTACTGTTTTAGGTAAGTGGAGTTATCGGTAGTGCCGTTTTCAATATAATGTTCGTTATTTCTGTATGCGGTCTCTGTACAACGACTGTTTCCAAATTGAACTGGTGGCCTCTAGTTCGAGATTGCTTTTTCTACGCCGTCTCTATTCTCGTGATGCTTGGTACGATCTACAATGAAACTATATCTTGGTGAGCAGTTCTCTTTTCATTACCCACGAAAGTATTTAATTACCTCCCATGCTTCATATACAATTGTACAACTTCATATACTTGAACAAATCTTTTTTATTCTTCAGGATGGAGTCACTGTTTATGTTAATTATGTACGCAGTATATTGCATAGCTCTTTCGTTTAATGAGAAACTGGAGCGATGGGCAAAGTCGTACAATATTCCTTTCTTACCCAAAGACGACGAGCCAGCTGAAGAAAGTGCTTTGGTCAGCTACAGATCTTTACAAGAAGATCGATTATCTTATACTGGTCCTAATTCACCTGTAACCGAACAGGCTGCTCAGATAAAGAATCAAGAAGGTGAAATATCAATCTCCATTTTTTATAGACATTGACATACATCTTCTTTTTTTCTCAAGAAGTAAGATAATTTTACATTTCAGGAAATGGTCTTCAAGAAGTCGGTGAACAACCACCAGCTCCAAAACCAGCGCCCCAATATTATAAAGCAAAAGAACCTGATCCAAACGAGGTGTCACCACTTGTAATGCCTACAGATGGAAATAAATGGAAACTTTTCACATGGGGTCTCGTGTATCCTATCCATTTTATGTGTCGAGCCACTATGCCTGATTGTAGGCAAGAAAGGTTTCGAAGTTGGTATCCTTTCACCTTTTGCGTGTCCATGATATGGATAAGTTTCTACAGTTACATCATGGTCTGGATGATCACTATTATAGGTAATATTACTATTAATCAAATCAAAGCATTTATTCTTACCTGACAGAGATCAAACAAAAATGATTAACTTTTAGGTAGTACACTTGGTATTCCTGACACTGTGATGGGTTTGACTTTCGTCGCAGCTGGTGTTAGCGTACCAGACGCTCTTTCTTCTTTAGCTGTTATAAAAGAAGGTCTTGGTGATATGGCTGTGAGCAATGCAGTTGGTAGCAACGTATTTGATATTCTTGTATGTTTGGGTCTACCATGGTTCATACAAACAGCGATGATCCAGCCAGGTTCTCACGTCAATGTTACAAGCAGGGGTACCTATTTGTTTAAACACAAATCCAACTTGTAGTGAATAATTCAATTACTTATTATTCATAATTCTTCATCTTTTTTTGTCCACAGGGCTAACATATTCAACTGTCTCGTTACTTTCGACGGTAATATTTTTGGTTGTCGCGACGCATATGAACGGATGGAAATTGGATCGACGATACGGTGTAGTATTGATGGCATGGTACTTAATTTTCATCATCTTCGCATCATTATACGAGCTTAACGTCTTCGGAGAAATGAATCCTCCAGTATGCCCGAGCATGTTTTAAATGTAAGTACATCGTTGGTAAAAATGTTCATTTTATAAGAGCATCCAAGACTTGTCTTGATATATTTTAGAAAAAAAAGAAAAACAAATAGAGCCACGAAGTGGAAGGAGACGCACCATTGAACCTTGCCCTGGAATTGATGTGCAATAATCCTTTGAAATAGCCACTTGCGACCGATTAACTTTTTAGGCAAGGACAAAGTTTAATCTGTCGAAGGGAAAACAACAGAAAGGATGTTAAAGGCCAAAAAAAAAAAGAAAGAAATGGAAACTCAACGATGACAAAAATAAGAGATAGATAGAGAGAAGTAAGATGATTAATAGATAACGTCGTTTATATCTTCCTTTTTTTAAAACTATTTAAACGTTCAAAATAATACGAAAGCATGAAAGTAATGAAAGACAAAGGCACGCTATAATATTACCGAGCCCTGCACGAAGGATAGCGAGTGTTTTTCTTTTTTGGTGCTACATATGTTATATATTATTAACAAACAAACAAAATATCTTGAAATAGTATATCGCTGACACTAGTCGTTTGTACAGCTCGTGACTCGTATAGTCCTCCTTTAAGAAATCGGGAGAATTTCTTCCAAGGATCAATCGATCGATTATCGAGACAAATAAATAATAAGTCGAGTGATCATCGATATAAGCTGATAAGTTTCTATTTGAATATTATTAATTCTGAATTCGACGACATCGAATCATGGTCTAGATATATCATTATTCAGAATAATCACTCGAATCTTCCTCGTCGCTTTTTTTTCCTCGCGTCGGGTTTGAACCGAGAAGACAATACAATTATCAGTATTAAGACGCACTTGTTATTAGATGAGCATAATAAAAATAAAAATAAAGCAACGGCAAGGTGGTCCGACGACGAATCGATCGTTCGTTCCCCTTTGATTAATTGATTGCTTGCTTCGCTTTTTTTCAGCGAACGTATCGTACATGATGATGACATAAATGATCGATATTGTCGTTAAAAGAAAAACAAAAAAATTCTTCTCGAAACGATTGATTGATTGATTGTGATCGTATTATGCATTACGAAATGTTTATGCGATAATTATTATTATCTTATTTATTTTCAATAAGTAATCAACTCGTGTCAGCCATATAAAAATTATCTTACAATTAGATTAAATCCTAAGATTAATACGTTATATTCTTATTATCAAATTTTATTATATAGTTAGAATGTATTTATATGTTAATTATCATATTCGCGTTTTCATGGAAAGGAACGCATCATCGAAGAGAATAGAGATTTTCAAATCAAGTTTCGTAAAAAAAAAAAAAAGAAAAAATAATATAGATTCAGGAGTTTGTTTATTCGTGAATAAGACAAATCTCTTCCTTAGACGATTTGAATCGTTTTCGAGACGACGGATGCGAGTGTTTTCGTCGCGTTCCTGTATTCCTCATTTATTCCTATTCGGTTCTCTCTGATTTTATGATATCATCATCGATGAGTTCTCATCATCGTAACTAATTCAAATTTCTTTATTCATCGCTCGTCCGTCCGTTGTTCAAAAAAACTTAAAACACCCTGTATGTACAGGGTGGAAGAAAAATTATATGCCAATACCGGCACAACAGGATTGTACGTTTTACCTAAAATTCAAGGTTAAATTGTTTTTTGCTTGCATCTTGTTACTCGTTACAAGAAATTGTAAATAAATTATTGCAAAAAGATAATTGTTCCCTTGAATTTACACGTAAAAGTTGAAACGTAAAAGCAATTTCGTTCGTACTATTTCCACCAATCCAAGGGTGCAAAATTCAGCTGTGTTGGTCGTAACATGCAATTTTCTTTCACCCTGAACATTCGACAACGAAAAACAAAGATTCGCGAGATCAAAGGAAATACCTTGTCAATGCGAGTACGTGATATAAATTGTCGTAATTTGATCATGTTTTTATTATTTTCTTTTCTTTATTTTTATGTATATATATTTTTTTTCTTATTCAATAAGATAATTTTTACCAGACAGATGAAACTTTCGAGTCGAGTCTTCCCACAAATGGAAGACACTTTAAGAAATTACTGTTAAAAGATAGAAAACAATTTAAAACGAAAAAAATAAATTAAATAATACAAAATCGTACACAGAGTAGAAAATATTTCGACGATCTTAATGAAAGGAAAAAAAGAAACAACAAAAAAAAAAGCAAGGGGGTTTACGAGCGCGGGCGGGCATATAAATGATTAAAAAAAGACAATAATTAACGCAGCCTTATCCGATGAAAGTATCTACAAGTCTCTCTAAAAAGAAAGAGAAGAAAATAGTAAAGAAAAATATAACGAAGGGATTCAAAAAAGGTACGAAGAAAATAAAAAAAAAAAAAAAAAAAAAAAAAAAAACCTGCGCGTTCCTTGAGATACCAAATTCGGACGGACTCGACGTGTTCTCGATTACCGAGCATTGTTATTGTTAATAGAAAAAAGATTTAAAAAGAAAAAAAAATTTATATAATAGACAAAAAAAAAATAGAGAATTTTTGAAATAATCAACGTAGCTCCGTTTACAGGATCCTTTGATCTTTCGATCTGTCAACGCGCAGGGTGGCAGAGTCCTTTCCGAAAGAAAGTAAACGCGTTTTTAAACAAATAATATTAATAATAATAATATTAATTATAATAATATTAATAATAATAATAATAATAGTAATAAACCGAGCCAAAAAGGGTTAAAATACGAAAATAATAAAAGAACAACAGGAACTCCGACACATTTCGCGTCCGTCGCTTGATAATGTTAACAGTTTAATAAAAGAAAAGAAGAGAAACAAAAAGCAAAACAAGAGAAAAACGAGAAAGTAATTTATCAACGAAATATTTTAATAGAGTTTCGTGATAATCGTTATTATTATCACGATACGATCGATTCGTTCGACCCCCTACGGACATGCGACCCTGCATGTATTTTAATCGTAATGAAAAAAGTTAAACACAAAATAATCCGTTTACTTTAAAGTGAAAGATTTTGATCTGTTGAAGAAACAATAGTAAAAAAAATAAAAGAACGAAAATCGGGTAACCCGTGCGATCCAGGTGATCGCAAGGATCGCGCAGATGCTTTAGAATTTATATTATATGTATATATATATATATAAATATATGTATGTATATATACAGGATGTCCTATAAGTGATGGTACAAGCTTACAGAAGACGATTTTATATGAAAAACTATGTCGAAAATGTAGAATAAGATTTGTTTGCATAAGGCTTGGTTTTTTGATAAAAATAAGTTTAAAAATTTGCCGAGTACTTGTACATTTGACTAAGCTTACAACTCTGAAAACTAAAAGTCTTATTCGATAAAAGAGATATCATTATACTGACAATGTTTCTAAACATATTAAAAAACAAGAAAATGCTCTCCTAAATATCTAAGGTAAAAGTAAGATAATGAAATCTGGCGAGGTGAAACGGATGCGTACTCGAAAAATATTCGAACTTATTTTCCTCATAAATTTTATTCTAAATTTCCGAACATAATTTTTCATATAGAATCATCCATTGTTCGCTTATACAATTAGTTACAGGACACCCTGTATATAAATATATATATATGTGTGTATGTACATATAATATATAAATATATAAAGAATATAAATAGCACGTATAATATTAATATAAATAACGTTTTGCGGAAAGGAAAAAACTTAGAACGTACAACTATATTAATTATTATGATTATTATTATATTCTTCTTCTTCTACTTCTTCTTCTTCTTATAAATTATTATCATAAAAAAACACATTATTATTATAAAACGTTAAAACGTGTTTATTCGCCACTTTTATTCGTTATTGTTAGCGTTTCAGGCGAGTGTGTATTATAACAAACGTTATACATATTATATTTATATATATATATATAAATATATAAATAATATATATAAATATAAATATATAAATACACATATATACATGCGCGGAGGCGTTCGATCATGTCGGGGGAAAAAATAAGAAAAAACAAACAAGTGCATCGATCAGTGTCAATTAGATTTTCAAAAGCAATTCTATTTATCTTTCTTTCTCACCTCTTTCTCTCTCTCTCTCTCTCTCTCTCTCTCTCTCTCTCTCTCTCTCTCTCTCTCTCTCTTTTATCACCGATCTCAAACGTTTAGACTTCTTCCACGTACTCTTTGAAAAGATAATCTTCCCTCCTAGTTCGACGTAATATGAAATTTCAATAGGGGCTAAGAAAAATGGAAAAAAAAGAAAAAGAAAAGAAGAAAAAAACGAAAGAAAGATAGAAATACGAAATTTGATTCCCAAAGAATAATCGAATTAACGAACGTACGAACGAACGTCTCCCTGCGTTGCTTCCGATGTTTTAGGGAAGCGCCGCTCGAAAGTCAAGGCGCTCATTTGTTAGATATTTAAAAAAAAAAAGAAAAAAAAAGAAAAAAAAAAAGAAAAAAAAATGATATTATACGCGGACCAGTCAGTCTCTCGATGTGTTTTTTCGTAGAGCGTATGAATCAACGAATAATCGCGGATTGTGAAAAGATAATAAAAATATATTAGAAAAAAAAAAAGAGAATGAATGAAAAAAGTAAAGGCAGGGGGCAAGCTCGTCGAGAGCCAAATAGTTTCGCAATCGTCGAAAAGACGAAAAGAAAGAAAGAGAAAAAAAAAGAAACTCATTAACTACTAATTGTAAGCTTTTAAGTCGATCCTATTTCCACCAGCCCTTTTTTTTGTATATATATAAATACACATAGGAGACAGATACACACATAACATTATAAATGTGAAAAGAGGGTAATTTCATTTCGTTTATCAATCGAATTCGAAAAGAAATCGGTAAGCGTTTAGAAAGTCAATTCGATATAAATATTATGATCATTATTATTACCGTTATAAATAGTGGTAGCAATAGTATATAGTATTCGTAGTAGTTATATAATAACACGCAAAAAAGAGGAGAAAATGATAATGAAAAGTATAGCAACGTAGTTACATTAGTGTTTCAAAAAATCGACAACTCGAAACTTCGAAATTTTGACCGAAAACATCAGAGTCGTCGAAGTTCGATAAAATTCCCCTCCGATCGATTTCGTTATTATTTTATTCAGCATTCGGCAAACTTTCCATTGAAAAGTATATCCAAAATAACTGGTATATATCATAAAGTATACTTTATTCTTATTCGTATTTTTTTTAACTGCAGGTAGCAATACAGAAATGTTTATATTAAAATTGGATAGATAAAAAAAATCAACAGGTCAATATTTCATTGCATAATTAATACAAATTAATCAATGATATAATCAGCGTAACTAAAATGTTTTAATCCAATACTTGTTCGTCTTACGTGCAATCATCTTTGGAAGCAATTTTTTATAGAAAAAAATTCGCGAACCCCTTGTTGCTGATCTCTGTTACGGTCACTCCTTTTCAAAGGATGTTCAACAACCTCGCATAAAGTCTATCGAAAAAAGAAACGGAAGGCGAGAAGATCGTATTATAAAACGTAAGGGTGGGTTTTAGGTGTTAAAATCGTCTTCAAACGAGAAACATCGATCAATTCATTTGTGTCCTTATTACAATTAATGTCTAATCGAAGTCAATACTCATACACTTATAATCTCTTAAAAATTGTCCCTTCAATTTCATCCCCCGTCCTTGAAATCTAACAACACGCTTACCGATTTCCAAAGAATCGATCGTTGAAATTGTTCCTCCATCTCATTTCAATATCCTCGAATCACACGATCATTGTATAAAAAATAATAGAGAAAACAAAAGAATAAAAAACAAAGTAACAGACGAGGGTGGGAGGGTTATAGAAGGGTAGAAAAGTAGAAGACGTACGTATTAGACAGTTCGAAAAAAATCAATTTTTCTGATCGGCGCTAAGGGTAGATTTTGTATTATTCGCGGCCTACGTAAAATTAATTGTTCTACCATTGCCGCAAATAAAAAAAAAATTAACGAAAAAGATAAAAAAAAAAGAAAAAAAGAATTAAAAATAAATATATATATATATATATAAAAGCGCATACAATGAAATACACATGTATGTATATTAAATATACATGCGTAGCAGCGATGAGAGAGAGTTTCCTTGTCACAAAGCTCACGCAAAAAAAAATCATTTAATCGCAATGTACATATATATATATATACATATATATGTATGTATAGATACAATATATATATATTATTATATCGAAAGAATGCGATTTAACATTATTTATAACATGATTAGAAAATTGGATAACGAAGAATTTAGTAGATGAATGCGAAATCAACAAAAAGAAAAAAACAAAATATAGTAGTTATGTATTCTGATGTATTTAAGATGTTTAAACAATAAAGCTATTGCTACCTATTAAAAATAATGTATAAAGTAGGATTAAGCAGACAAAAAGAAAAACATTTCGGATATTGCACTATTTTCTTCTTTCAAGACGAATACAACTGATTCGAAAGTCGTTTGGTTTTTTTTGTATTTTTTAATTGTTTATTTATTCATAGAATCAAATTGTTTTGAATTCTTTTTGCTGTTCTTGCTGAGCTCGAACGTGCTTATATTGATCCGTTGTGTTATTCGCGTGGGATTGCAATGTCAACAACGAGTTCCTCGGCGACGAACAGTCGTCGAGGATCTTTTCGAGATCGTATAACTTTTTCAGTTTATCTTGAATATGATTCAAATATTCCCATCGTAAGATTTTCAGATGCTTTACGTATTCCAACGTACCACGATGACTCAACAACGTTTGCCCCAACGAATCGCAACAATCACCTTGGAGTGCACGACTTATCTCAATGCATAACTCTTGTCGTGTTATTTCTTCCTTCACCGGATCTCTCTATCAAGGAAATAGCAAATAAAAAATTATATTACAGTTAATTAGATTAGCGAAGAAATATCGTTGATTTGAATGTTACAATGCTAATGAAACTTTATGCTATCGCATAAAAATTGAAAATAATATTTATTCTATAGAATTTTTAATTGTTAACATTTTGTTTAAAATATTGGTACGCGTTTAAACCAAAATTATATTGAATAATTTTGTTACAAATGTTTAAAAATGATAGATCATTATGAACAATTTTTATATATGAATTCGTGTCCGAAAACTAATTTGGTAATTATAGAAGTTAATGTGTGTGTTAAATGGTTTTTATTTTAATTGGAAAATAATAATTCAAAAAGTTTGTTATTTTATCAAAGTCTATATTAAAAGCACAAAAATGATTTGCCCAAATTTCTTACTTATTGTTAGATCAGTAATTTTAAACGTGTGTGGTCTGTGACTTAAGATTTTAAGCATCAATGCGACATAAAAGATTACTTGTACCTACACGAGAAATTATTCTTTTATTTGCAAAATTTTTCTAAACTATAATTATGATCTTATGACTGGAAAAAAAAACATTCCGACAACATAGATCATATTCTATAATTAACAACAAAATAATCAGAAAATGTTTATTTTAAATACCTTTTTTGCATCCAATTGACCAAATTCTTTGCTCAATGCTTTGTCGATCAAATTAAGAATATGACTTTTGCTAGCGTGAAGATCGAGATCTTCATCAGGCTGATTACTTTCCACAACAATATCAGTATTCTCGTTTTTGTCATTGATTTCTTTTTCGATGCAAGTCGTTCTCTCGAATGATTTCGTACATTTTGTGTTTTTGGCAGAAGAAGACTTGCGACAGGGTTTTAAATAAGAAATATTCTTCAATTCTCTAATTAATTTTTTATCCTCCAAATAATTATCAATGTCAACGTCCGTTTCTCCATCTGTGCAATGATAACTTGTGCTAGCTTCTACTTGCTGAACAATTTTGTTGTTTGCCTGTCATAAAATTATTCAATTTTATTAAATCTATAAAGTTTACACTATATCATTATTTTAATCCATTAAGTATATATGTAAAATAAATTCTTTATATATCAAACTCTACATTAGATCTTCTAAAATCCCATGTGGGGCCGCATAACTAAATTTAAAGTTTGCAGAAATGTTAGCAAAACTAATATATTCCTAAATGCGTAACGACTGAAAATGAATTCATTGGTTCTGTTGACTTCAATCGAATTTTGTAAAACTAATCAAAAAATATACCTGCTCTGGTATATTCTTATTGTTACTCGTCGAAATTTGATGCTTTTTGGATACATCCGTGTATTGTAATTCGCCATCTAAACGATGTTCCTTATTTTTCTTTTTCGTTTCATCTTCAAAGTACGATTTTTTCTTTCTCTCTGGTTGCTCCACGTTAAACGAATCATTTTCCTTGCATTGCTGATCATCGATATTCTTCAATTTCCCATATAAATGATATTTCAATTGATCGAGCTCTTGATATTGTTGTTTCAAATGTTGCTTGTACTCCTCAAACTCGTTTTCTTTTTTTTTCAAATTCGATTCCAATTCCCTCTTGGAATTATCGCAGCATTTCTTTGATCGTGAATATTTTTCGTAATATTTATCCATTAAATCGCTCTCCGGTTCCGAATAATCTAATATACCTTGTAATACCTAATTAAAAAAGAACAAAAATCATTTGATATTTTACATTAAATAATTAATTGATATTAAAATCGTTAGAAGACGATTAGATGAATTATTTAGAACCTGATCGTTCTTCCAATGATAATCCTTCTTCGTCGAACTTTTAATTGGCAAACTATTAGGAAATTTAATATAATATTCGTTCTCTACTCCTTTATTAACAATATCATCGATCATCATCGTAAACTTGTCATCATCATCATCGTTCCAGCGTTGCTTTTGTCGATGATTATTGTTAGATATCTTTTTCGAATGAGTACGATGACAACGGGGATTTGATTTCGGTGAAAGAGGAATACTATAAGACTTTTTCACACCACCGTTTGCCAATGCGTTGTCAAATATGTGTTCGGTTTTTTTAAAAACTGCCTCGATGTTATCAATATCCCTTATAAATATAAATTTTTAGAAAAAAATAATTTCTTTTCCTAATTATAAATTGCTGAACGTTTTACTCGCACGATTAATAAAATGTTGTTAATTGATCTAATCGATCTAAATACCTCGTTTTGGAGGGTGTTCTTTTGAAATCAAGTTGACAATGACAGGAAGGACAACGATGCGTTTTAGATTTTTTTTTACGTCCAAAAACTTCTTGCTGGTTTACATCGTACATAATTGAATGTTCACATCGTGAATAAGGATCGCCGGAAGCATAATTCGGATAAGTGTGATGATGTGAGATCGACTTTTTAAAGCAAGGTTTTCTTTTGTATAACTCTTTAAAATGGCAAACATCTTCCTCAGTGTCCTCCTAAAGAAAAATTAATTTAAATATTATTTACATATAAACGATCAATTAATATAATTTTCCTAACGTTACATTTAAGGAATTAAGATTTATTTTACATACAATTCTGTTCAATTTTTAAAAATGTATCCACTTAAATATTTGATTTGACAGTGATAATAAAATTGTTAAATTATTTATTAAAACCTCACCATTTTTATTGATACTCTTTCCAATAATATTCCGGATAAACCGGAACTTCAAAAAATCAGATTTATAATCTGTATTCATAATAAGTTTATTACGTTATAATACTCTACCGACATTACAGATGTGATCTTTCATTTTTCTCACAGACGCAATCGAATTATCAAAAATTAGAATCTCGAAAGATTTAAAATAAATATTTAAAGAAAAACGAGACGAAGACAATGGCATAAAAGAAAACGAAACATAAAAACCGTAAATGTCAAAATGAACGAAAAAAATCACAAAACTCGAACGCGCGCGTGTCTCTGCTTGACAAAATTTGTTGCTCCGTTGTTTTTTTCTTTAAAAACAGAATAGTTTGTCCGATAATTTACAATGTGTCTAGAAAATAATTTATCAATGACATCATACACCCACATCCTGTAAATCATTGAATTACTTTTACATAAGAATATACGTAAATTTTAATTTCATGTTAAAAGTGAATCAATACAATTCATTGCATTTCATTAAATATTTAAACGTTACATGTTTCTAAGTTAGAAAAACACTATACAAAGTTCTAATCGATCCATAAATACTACTTTTATTATGTACTACTATTTGAATTATTTATTTAACACCTTTTATCCGATCTATCCATAATTTGTCACAAGAACGAGACTAGTTAGTTTAATCCATTACAAACTTTTATTCAACATGATTACGAACGAAGAAAAAAATACCAAAGAGAACTTTTCTTATCTTTTTGAAATTATGCCGGATTATCAAAAACGTATGAAATTTAATATTAAAAGTGTTCAATCTGTACCGAATGAATCAGCTATGCACGTGGATACAAATGTAATAAATGCAAAGTCATTAATGGGTCGGTATTTCGTTGAATTTGCTAGTAACTCCAGTATTAATGGATTGAAACATCTGGTTGCACGTAACAGACATATGTTTGAGAGGTATTGAAAAAAATAATCCTTTTGTTATTAATAAACCATAAGTCATATTTGTACCGGTAATAATGACAGCGGACTAAGCGAAAAAATTAATTGAATAATTTATATCCTAAAGTTAAAAATATTAGAAAATGATCACAATGAATTGAATCAAAAAATTAATTTTACGATTTATATTATAAGATATAAGTTATAAAATAAATTTTATTCAATTATTTGACTAAGTCCACTGTTATAATTATCGATACGTTTAATAATCATTTATTCTATATCATATTTTTTAAAGGATCCTTTTAACCATAATTATACTAACTGCACTTGCAAGCTTGACTTATATCTCTATAATTTCTTGGTACCGATACGAGGACGGTGCTATTTCTGTATACTCGAGTCATCAATATAAACTCTTCAGACTTTTGAAACCTTCGATACTTATGTGTCCAATAAATTTAATAGAAGAATCCAGCTTTCCTACAACTTTTAAGCGGTATAGTCTATGTCTATTACAAAATTTAAATATTTTTATATGTTTGCTCTTAATTAAAGCAGTGTTGTTTTAAGTCATAAAAATATAAAATATTAATTTTATATTATAAAGCACGGTAATTCGGTTCGAAATTAAAATTATGATAATTCCAGTTATGGCATCGAAGATACATCAGACGCTCGAGCATTTTTTCATTTCTTATCAAACGCTACCTACAATACTATGATCAATACACCTGATTACGATAATGCACCACCAGAATTATGGCTTAGAATTTTGTCAGATTTAAAAAAGGAATTCACTTATGAAACAACTTTGACTGGCGAAGGAATATGGGTTGCCACTGAAAACGGTTTATGTGTTTCTGTAGGAAACTTTGTTCTCCACTATGCAAGTTTGCAGTAAGCATCAGAAAACCGAATAAAAACTCAACACGCTAATTTGTCAAATATTGAAAAAACAAATTTGTTGATTCTAGAAACTTGTTGTCTAACAATTGGACTGTAATACCTTTGCCTAATTATCCACCAGATTCAAAAGATTTTGAGACAGCCGATGAAGATATAGATAATTTTAATTATTTACCATCGTATACTTACGACAAAGATCACGGAAAAACAGAATTAGTGAAAACTGATACTCCAATACTGGTAATCGTTTAAAGAACTATTTAATTATTAGCCAATTAAACATCACGATCGTTAATATAATTATCTTCATTTTGCGTGAACATATAGTTTAGCATACTTAATCCCATGGATTCATATTGGACAGAACCAAGAAATCTTCTACAAATTCTTGATTACCAAGTCAGTACTCTTAGAATCATACAAGGGGACTCTATGAAAAGTATATATAAAATTCCAATACGTCGAAGACAATGCGGATTCCCTTTCGACAAGGGATTGGAATTATGGCCAATATACACATACTTTATGTGTATGACTGAATGTAGAGCTCGTATAATTAGAACTGAATGCGGTTGTTATCCTCACTTTTTTAGACGAATACGTAAAAATATTTATATATCTTTTTTCTTCTTTTTCTTTTTTTTTTCATTTAAATAGGTATTGTCTATTATATCTATTTATTTTCTCAGATGATGTTCCTATCTGTAATACCGCACAATTGCGTTGTATCGGAAAAATACAACGATTAGGATTACTTAATATTAAACCACTTTCCTGTGATTGCCAGTATAATTGCAACAAAGTATCGTATTTGGCGGAGGATATTAGTATATCGAGATTGTGATTGTCAAAAGAATATTAATAATTTTAAGAATAATTATTCTAAACATCGACTTAACAATTCTAAAGCATACTTAATAATTATAGGAAGGAAGTAACACCCATAAAAACTGCGAGTTTCAAAATGACAATAGATTTTTCAAAAAACAAATTTAAACGTAGAGAATGGTACACTTTTGGAGATCTCTTAAGTACGTTTACAAAATTTATCAATTTATTTTACATTCTTCTTCTTTTTTAACAGATTTTTTTTTATTTTCTTGATTCAGCATCAATCGGTGGAGCTGCTGGTTTGTTCCTTGGTTGCAGCGTAATATCCTTTTATGAAATATTATATTATGGGACATTGCATTTGTATATTTATATACGGAAACATAAAAAGAACCAAAAATTAAGTTAAGAATTGAATATACGTCACATTTTATTAATTAGCTAGACACGATAGTTGAAAAATACTGTTTATTGCAAAACAAATTGCATTTTTGTTAGAAGGACGCGAGTGAAATAAATATCACATACATACATACATACATACATACATACATACATACAAATGTACATACTTACGTCTTTAAAAGATAATGATAAACGCACAATCACTGTACACTAATTTACAAGAGTAGAAGAATCACTTGAAATATTATTAAAAAATGTTTCTTTTCGAATAAATTTCTTTCCGTAATAGGATATACAATTTAGATAACTAAAAGGATGCTAATATATCAATGAATGGATTTCCAGGTTCTTTAGCTGCAATTTCGAATGTCTCGACGAAAGCTTTCCTTTGAGATTCTTCGGGCAACTGTAAATAAAATCAAATAATTGATTTTAAAAATACTTGTTAATACATTTAATTTTTATCAAATTTCCATGTTCGTTTACCTTATGATAAAAATCATTAGCTGCTATACACAAAATCTTCTTATCCTCGTATTCATACTTTCCAATCCTTGATTGTACATGTGGGAATCTATATTGATATTTGTTAAAGAGCCACACTATTTGGTTATTCTTCAAATCTAAAGAAAAAATTTAAAAAAAAAAAAAAAAAAAAGATAAAAAGGATACAAAGCTCTCAACCAATTATTCGTAGATGCGCTTATAAAGAAACAAGAAAGACACCAAGTAGACATAGCCAATGGTAAGCTCTGTATAAAATTTGGCAAACTGAAGACCACCCAATCTTGTAGTAAACTCATTTTTGTAGACGTACATGCTCTTTCACAGACCTACATTTAATAAATCAAATATTTGAGTATGTTAATTTCGTTAATATCTAATGTCTTCACATATTTTTAAATATATTGTACTTGATTACTAACTTTAAACACTACGCCTGAAAGCAATCTAGGATGTGGTTGTTGGGGTGATAAAAATTCACCTATAACTTTAGTCAAGATTTCGGATGGTGGAAAGAAATCTGCTAAAACACCTGATAAAACTGAACATAGAATTTCTACTTCCATTGGATAGCCTTTCTTAATTCTATCAAATATGGCAGACGTTCGTTCAATAGATCGAACCAATGATTCCGGTTCAATACCCGGTAATGGTTCTTCAACATTTGGCTGATTTAATCTATCTGCTGCTTCTGTATACATGCACGTTAATAAAAGTTGCAAGGCAGGTAACGCATACATCGGACTTATGTGTCCTAAACGTTCTGTTGCTACTTTGACAATTTGTTCAGCCACTTTACCCGTTACACTTTTTGTTATAATTAATCTTTCGAGACCCTAAAAAATAGAACAGGTGAAATAATTGTTTACTGTTGAGAGAGAAAATGAATTTTAAATAAAAATAAAAAGAAATCTACCTGTAAAAGAGTTTGATGTAAACTAATTGAAATATTCGGTGACATGACTAGAGAAAGAACTAGTTCAAGCACAGCAGGAGCTTCCGTATCCGACGGCGTATCTCCTGCATGTTCTAATAAGAAAAATACTAAGGCCCACATGATACCTTGATGTTCCTCGCTTTGATTTAATACCCTAAAAAGAATAAAGCAAAGTTTTATCTTATTCTTCAAAAATAAAATAAAAATTGCATTCAAAACATATGTATTACCCATCTGTATCTTGATTGTCTATGTGTTTTTGTATATACTCGATAGTCAATGGATGTAAAATATTCATAATTTCTTCGTAATTAGCCTGAACTGCACTTTGTAATAAATACAAAACGCCATGAAGTGCTGCGACTCTAGCAGCTAAGAAAACCGATTTAAGGTTGATGTCAATCAAACGTTTCACCTTTTCCAATGTATCCAAATCCTAAAACAATATTCTTTCAATTAATAATATTGATATGCATATAACTTTTGTATTTGTAATATAATGTAATACACACCAGTGGTGTTAATACTGCGGCAGCCTTACATACAGATATTACCAAATACTGATATAAGATTCCATTTTCTATTGGATGTACTCTTGAAATTTCTAAGCAAACATCTAATATCCATTGATATTGCGCTCTTTCAACAAAGAGATCAGAAATAGCTAGGAGAGATTTCATAGTTTCAGTGAGTAATTGTATTGGAATATTCGCTTGTGGCGACAACCAAGAAGTATAAAGTTCCACTAAAAATCGAAGACACGAATCTACATCTAATGATGCAGTCTTCAATGCATCATTTCTTCTATTTTTTAATTCAAGAACAGAGGCATTCAATTTATCTTCGTATAAATTACACGACGACCATAAATAGGAAACTGATAATTGACTATAAGTAAAGTTATCTGAAGTTCTAATCTTTTCTATGTTTCCTCTATGAAATATATGATCTAATCTGAGACCATTTATATTCTGAATATCACTCATACATTCGAATTTCCATGTCAATAAATCTTGTATAGTATATAATTTTTGTGAGCTTATTTTCACTACCGAAAGTTGAGGGTCTCGTGAATGATGAATCAAACAACTAGTAATTGGATTACCAGGATGTGGTAGAAGCATTGTTTGTAATAATAACTGTGTTATAGCTTGAATAGCTAAACAGCTTGCTTGTACTAACGCTGTTGCTTCTTCCGAAGAAGTATTTTCATTTTGTGAAAGATTTAACAATCCCAATAACGCCATCCATATTTCTTCAAATTGTAATCGCGAAGTCCAACCCAACAAATTAATTCTATAAATGAATTGTTCTAAAATGTCGACCTCTTGTAGAAGATTTGATTCGGTTGATAATAATGGAAAATGGCATTTAGTTGTACCAGAGCCCATTATATGCCAACCATGTTTCCAAACCAAAGGAGGCGTTAGAACAAAAGAATTTACCAAAGGTTGACGACTAATAAGTACAATAAGACTTTTAATTATATTAAATAAATAAGGAGGAATGTTTTTCGAACTATTATTAGTATGACATTTTTCAAGCCAGACAACCAGTGATGCTATCTGCACGCATGCCTTCGCATAATGCTTCGTTTCTTCGTCTTGAAAAGCTGGTTGTAACGAGCACCTATCAACGTGAGGTAACGATTCAACCGTCGTTAAATTGTTTTCAACTATTTTGGTCATAGCCAGTATCGAAGAACATACCCACGAGTATCGAGTGCTGTCTGCAAAGATCTTGAATGGGCCTTCGTGTTTCAAAACTTCTGCAGCACAACTCAATGCTAACTCTACTTCACTTGGTCGTAACTTTCTAATATTTTCTTTATCTACATGTATCATCCAATGTGTTAATTCCAAACATAATAATGCTAGCTTAGCACAATCTTCTTCAACTTTAGCATCCATGTGCGCCAAATTATATCTAGTTAATTGCGATAATGTTTTAGTAAATGCTTTTACAACTGGAATGATTTTAAAAAGTGTATTCCAGTAGATGGAATCGTCTAAAAGTTTGGATATCCTTGTTGCATATTTCACTTCTTTACTATTAGTATCAGATTTTTGTGGATTAAATACATAATGTGGTTTTGGCATAAATTCAGTTACATTACGTACATGTTCCAACAAACATTGTTTAGCAGCTATATATAAAGAGCTTGCTTCAAAATGATGAATTTTTTCGTTATTAATTTTTCCTAACTCTAACTTTTGGCAATTCTCAATAGTCAATCTTACACCCAATGTTATGCAGTCTTTTAAAATCATTATATCAAACTCCTTACAAGAAATAATACTCAAACAGTCTTCAAAATTTAAATTACTCAATAATTGTGCTGATTCATGAGTATTATATGTAATATTCTGATGACAACAATGTAATTTTATTTGTGAGAGAAACCAATCGCGATCTAGTTGAATTGTTTTTACGATTAATGGATTAAAAGGTCTACACAAATCAGGTTCGAAAGGTGAGAGATCGTAAAACTGTACTCCTAATTTATTCAATAAGTTAACTAGTGCTCCATGTTTTTTAGCTAGCTTAGTAGCCTGTAATGTATCCATGATCTTTATTAAATCATTTTTTGGGAATTGTTCTATAACATCTGTTGCGTTCAATGTTAATAAAATTTCGATTCTTCTACTAGCCATCTTTGCTGCCATTCTTGATAAAGCAAGATATTTGGTAGATAAAAATTTTGGAATTAACATCATTATGACTGCACCACTTTGAGATTGATGTGCATCTTCGATGCATTGCAATAAACGCTTTACAAAGCTGGGTTGTGATAAATTAACACATTTTGTTGAAATAGCTTGTACTAAGAGACCGCTAGCTGCAGGATTTCTATGTATAGCTGCTGCTAAAAGTTCTCTCACTGGAGATTCAGTAGCTATATGTATTGCTTCTTCAATATGATTCACCAATAACCATGTTAAAGGTTCTGCATCATTGAGATTTTCACATACATAATCACAAAATAATATGATTCCTCCTTTATGAATAATTTGTACATTTATGCTGTTTACATGATCGTATACTTTAGTCTCATTGGGAAGAGTTCTTACTATGTAATCTGAATTTCGTGTGCCCAAAACTTTAGACCAAAATAACATCTCATTATAGCTTAATAATGTCATTAAATAAGCCCATTGACAAGTCAACATTGGACACACATGCCCAATGCTTACCATTAAAGAATTTAAATTGTCTATCGGAAACTTGTCCTCATCAAGGGTATTACGATCTTGAATCATTTGCATTGCTGCATTTGCCACTTTACAATGACTTCCAGACTCAAACATGTGTATGCACAATTGTAAAAAGAATGCAAATTGATGCACCAGATAGTCATCGTTATCTGTGTGTTGAGCAAATCCTGTATAAGGATCTATAGCTTTGTGATTAATTAATCCTAGAATATTAAAAATTTTCGTGCCTATCAGGCTAATTACTTTAAATATGAATCTTGCTAAAATTTTTTCTGGTGGTATTTGTGCAGACTGAGTTCCAAGTGCATTCAATGGATCTATAACTTTAGACATATTATCTGGAAATAATAACAAGTGTGAAAGATCTGTCATATATACGCTAAGATCCGATAGTCGTGCTAACATTGAGTCCTCTTTAGCACAAGAGATAAGAGTTAACAATATAACATTGATCATTCCCAACCAACGTTTTAGATTAAAAACTGGTTCTTTCAAAGTAGCAGGCGTAGTAAAGAGTACTTTTAAAAGTGGATCTACTGGTCTGAAAACAGTAGGAGAAATTGCAGCAAACAATTTGACTAAAGCCATATGAGCATTTTCCCATTCCAGTCTTACTTGACGCATTCCTAACATGGGAAGTATAATATCTGTAGTCATTCTAGACCATCTTCTCCATTTTTCTTCTCCATTTCCATCTCCACTAAATCTAGATTCTGAGACACACAGTGCTAAAAGCTCGATGACTTCGTGATATTCTACTAGACGAAGTAGCATTGAAATTAATACTTCTTTGGTTGTTTCCAATTCTCTTTTTGCTTGATTAGAACTTTCATTACGAATAAGAAAAATATCTCCGACCACAGGTGCAAGAGCTGGTATACAATATTTAAGTGCTGGCTGTCCACTTGCCATAAGTCCATCACATAATTGTATTATTTTAGGAATACCTATTACAACCTTCGAGTGATTTTTTTCATAAGATAAATGCACCAAAAAACTAAAAATTTTTGGTAAAAGATGCTCTGCCTGTTGTATCTGACCCTCCTCTATGAATTCAAACTGCTTTAATACGAATCCAATAAATATCTTATCTGAATCTAACAAACAATAATTAACTTTCAGTTGAATCAGTTGACTCAGAAGCATTAGCACTTGACATTGCAATGAAATATTGCTCGTGATAGTATATTGTTCCATAGACTTTATAACCATTGGTTCAAATAAACGAATAAAAGTAGCTACAGAAGCTTTATGATCCGAAGCATAGATGTATGATAATTTTCTATCTCCTTTTCTACGTGTTAAACCTATCCACCTAGAAATCATAAAAGGTTAGAATAAAATTAATTTCAAATATGATTTATAAATGTATGATACTTACCCAGTGTCTGGTTTATTTTCATCTCTGCAATTATTTCCTATTATTTTGATCATATCTGCCATATGTCTAGCTGGATTTTGAAAACATTGATTATAGAAGCCTTTAGAAGTATCTCTCAACGCAATATTCTGTTCTGCATATTGTTGCATATCCTGTTCATTCCACTGAGTACCTAGATTTTTACCGAACAAGCATTTCAACAATTGCTGTACACATTGAATAGTTGCAGTTGGTGATAAAGTAACAGTTGTCTGCAGGTAATAGAGAAGTTCATCTGCTATCCCGCCAGCTTCATTAAAAGTGGCTATCTCAAGAATTTGCGAAAGAGTATCCAGTATAGCAGTTAATAATGCAATATACATTTCGCTAGCCTCTGGTTCAAGAGTAACAAGATAATTAGAATGTGCTGCTTTGAGATTGTCATATATCTTCATATAATGCGGAATAGTAATGAATAATCCCATTTGTTCTTTTTCAAACTTTAAATTTAAAAACTTATCTTTTTTTTCTTTTTGTTTCTGTTCAGGAACTACTTTTTTCTTTGGAGATAAAGTATGCGCAGCTGACAAAGATAGTGATTTTGTACTTAATTGATTTAACTGTATATCATCAATAACATGAACGAAAATATTTAGAACTCTTACAACATGAGCCAATAATAGTTCCATATACTGACAAGTTTGTTTATCTTTAAACATACGCCAAAGATTTGATGTATCAGAATCATGTTTGTTTGTTGGTTCGTTAGGTTTCAGATTGCAAAGAGCCAACCCTGATGCAAGATTACCCGCAAGAGAAATTAAATGTTTATGTGTTGATAAATCCAAACTTATTGCAGATGAAGACAACAAAGGCAACAACAAAGAAAGTAGACCACTACCAATTGGAGACGTTATTTCAATAGCAAAATTGTTTTCGTTTGTTGTGTCTACTCGACTAACAGCCTTTTTATGAGATTTTTTAAGCAGTGCTTTAGGAAGTACACAATCCCATCCTCTGACATAAACTACAGTATTATAAACTTCACTTAATTGAGCAAGAGCTTCACAACAACCATATACCATATACTTAGATGAATCAACCATGAGTATTTCAGTTAAGATGCTAACAATACGAGATAAGGAGTCCTCTGTATTTACGTGATATTTCTTATCACTATGATCATTTAAAGATGTAAACGGCTTGACTGTATTATTTATGCATATTTTATGTCTATCATAATATGAAGGTATTCTTAAAGTATTTGACATTAGAGTTGATAAATATTTTTCTGTATATTGAGCTGCTTTTTTTACAACAGCACTTTCCTGCGGATGTTGAAAATATAATAATGGAATACTTCTGAAAATAAAAATGAACAAATTTAATCTTAAGAGAATAAACAAATTCAAGTAATATGATAATTCGTAACATTGAAACTTACTTAACAATTGCTTCAGATGCTGCATGTCTAACTCTTTTGTCCTGATCTCCTAATAAAATTATTATAACATCGATAAAATGTTGTTGAAATAATGCATCACCTGTTATGTGTTCTATAGTGATGTATGATAAATTACTTAGCAAATCTGCTAATTTAACTTTGACAAGAAAATATGGATTTTTAATAAGCCTAGGTAATTCAAATAAAATGGTTATTCCATATTGACTATCTACAGAATTTAGGATTTCTGGTAAGCATAAATTTAATGCTGTTAACGTTTGGCGACATGTTGTGGCAGAATCATCCTCTAAACCCTTAAAAAAAAAATGCCTTATTTTAATTTATTTTCATTAATTATAATGCATTTGATTGTGAAAAAATCTTACTTTTATAAGTAATTTTATCATATTTTCCAACAATGAACTTTCGTTTGCTTTACTATTTAAATTTTCAGGCTGAAAATTCTTAAAAGATCCACCATACTGAGTAAAAACCGTTTTCAAAAATAATCCAATAAGAATCGATACATTAGCTCTGATTTGAGGATCTGAATGATTTGCAAATAATAAAATATCTTTAATCATTTGCTTATCCGAATGAGTAGAATCTTTGGCAACTGTCATTAGAAGTAAATCTGGATAAAGTCTTAAAATGTTGGCTACGCATGTTAAAGCAAGAGATTTAACACTGACACGAAATAATTTATCAGGCATTAAGTGATCAGCACTGCCTGTTAACAAAAATGATGAAACTAAATAACGACAACAAAATTTGACGGGCATATCAGAATCTGTATAAGTCCCAATATTGATTTCGTGCAATGGCAATTCCATTGACAATTTGTGTGAAGAGGCTACAGATATCGAAGCTTCGTCCAAATATTCATCTTCTTTCATGTGATTGCTTTGTAAGCTTGAATATGGTATGTTTTCTATTTGTTCTATTTCGCTTCCAGCATCGCTTCCTTCCTCGATGCCATCTCCTAAAGTAGATATAAACTAGAAAATTTGTATGTATATCCAATATTACTCATTCAAGAAACATTTACATTTATATAGTTATTCTCACCCTCTAAAGTCTCTATTTTTAATTCACTATAATTTTCCATCGTTTTTCCTTTCGTTTCTGTTGCATCACTTGAACATGTTTCCCGCGTTTCTGATTTTTGTATCAACGGAAGTACCATTTCTGAATCCATAATCCAATTTCCTATCGTTGAATTCAAATGCGGCATTTCCGGTTCAAGCAAATTCAATGTGGAATCAGAATTGCCTCCAGAAATACTTGTAGCTGTTGAAGTACTTATTTGACCCAAAGATATCGTAGCTGCTTCTTGATTCAACTCGATTCTACTATGAGTAATGCCTTCTTTAGACAACAATAAATATTTGAACGCACTTGATGGAGATTGCAAAAGTTGAGCCAACGTTTCCAAAGCAGCATTTATTAAATTATGATTTGAATGCCACTTGGTGTAATACAAGCATAACTCATAAATTTGTAAAAAATTTTCCAATTGTTGTTTGTCACTAGATTCACATTCCGTTGGTGTAGAAAGATATGGTAAAATCACTTTTATGCATCCAAAAACACCAATAACTTTATTCAAGTGATCTATGTCATCACTTACTGGTATAATAGCATCTGTAAAAATATATTACTAATATACACATATTATATAATTAGCAAACATAATAATTAAAAAATATTCTCATCTTACCTAATAAATAATTTAATACGTAACATAAAAAAGCTTGAGGTTTCCTACAATTTAAGCAGGTCGTTAAAATCATATTTGCTGCAGCTCTACGAAATGCAGCTTGAGTCGACGATATATTTTGAAATAATGCTTTAAGCAACGTCTACAAAAAGATAATATACTTCTTGATACATATTGCTATTATATTATATTGCTATTATTATTATTATTATTATTATTATTATTATACCTTAACATCGTTATCCGTCATAAATGGCCCCAACGTCTTTAGAATTAATTTTAATGCTTGTGCAAGTGTATCTATTACTGATTCTTCTGGCCTATGCGCTATGACAGTAATACATGGTATTAAATTCGATACGTATGCTTTCCCTCTCGTAGGACGAATCATATGGCTAAGTAAACCGAATCTCCAAAGAGCAGCTCTCAAAGTTCGAGCAGGTCCATTACTTTTGATTCCATTATATAACTCTATTTGAATTTTAACAATATCACTGTCTGCCATAGTCTGGTAAATAATATATATTATACTTATTATAGTTATATAATAATATAATCAATTGCACATGATAAGTAAAATAAAGAACATTGAAATAATCATACCCTTATAATTTTATTCAGACATTCATCAGCAATCATTCTCACATCAGCTTCTGCGTCATCACATAGTGCCAATAATGCTTTTATCGAACAACCAAAAATTTGTGGATATTTAGATATCAATTTAGTATTTGTTGAACATAATCCTTCAGCAATTACTGTACAATGCATTATCTTCTCTTTTCTGTTATATTTAAAAATATATACAAGATTTTGATAAAAATTTTAATTAAAAATTTGACAATGTAAACAATTTTAATTCATACCTTATTACAGGATCAGATGAAACCATGGTTTCCTGTAATACCTTTAATGCATCTATAGCTTTTAATATATTGTTTAATGCAGCCATTTTTATATAAAATAGTTTATTACTTTCTTTCTATCTATTTAACCTTTTTATCTGAAATATATAACATATTGATAAAAATAGGCTAGTTTGACAACACAAATATACTATAAAAATCTAACACGTTTAGAAACGCCATATTTATTTACGATTGAAACGTGTCACCCAAAATTACAAACATAAATTATATCCCATCAAAAACGTCATTTCAATCTTACCATTATAGGTTATTCAATTTGCTTAATAAAACTATTTAACACTGTCAATGCGTAAAACTGTAATTAATCATTATTAATAACTCTGTGCAATGATTGCAATTTCATTTAAAGGAAAATAATAAATTATTAACTTTTCTATTCGCGATAGATTATCAAAGACTGCCATATTTGTTGTAAAACTGAAGGACACACTATAGTCAAAACTGTGAATAATCCCATCGCAGACGTACAATAATATATATATATATATATATATATTCATATTTAACTTTTGATTAAAGATTATCAGTAAATAATCATTTTATCTCTATTATATTATTTAACCTATAATACATAATTATATTTCTAGTGATACAAAAAATAATACTTTTGAGTAAAGACATTTTTGAATATACCGCGTAAAACGCATATTTGATGAACTTTAAATATGTAATATAAAAAGGACATTTTATAAATTTGTTAAAAATTATAAATCATAATGTTTTAAATAAAAAAACAAACAAATTCACAAAAGTATTCATTAGATTGAAATTAAATTTACAAAAAAATAAAGGATTGTAATAACATCAGTTTTATTTGTATAGATAGCGCTGTAATGTGTTATTTTCTATTTGCAAATACTTTTTAGATTTGATCAGTGCAAGTACATAAAATCGATAATTAAGATATGCAAAACATCAAAATAATGATGCTCATGATAGATAATATAAAAGTTATATTATTTTCTATACTTTACAAACACAAATAATTCACGGTTATTTATAAAATTTAACTTAATACAAAAGAATAATCCTGATAGTACAAAGTTAAAAAAGGGCAGATATCAAGCAAAACACACATTCTCACGAGAGGAAAATATTTCATTTAAATTGCATTATCTTCTATGATAAAAGTTATTGAATAATCATTAACATTAGTGCTAGATAAATATTTGTTATTTTTTTAAATTATAAAAATCTTTACATAATATCACGCATAATTAACCTTCTTGTTTTACAAACTGCACTGCCAGCAGTGATGTAAATTAAATGCATTAGCTAAAAATATATATCACTTGTTTAATTAATTGGAATTTTTTGATTAATTTATAAATTTTGCTCTTAATCTTTTGGGAGTAAAAGATAATTCGACTCTTTTCCTTGAAATCGAATAAAATCTAAGTTTATTTAGTTACTTCGTGAATAGCATTAGCAAGATAATCCACATTTTTGCTTGATACACCTGCCATAGATATTCTTCCATCTTTAGTAAGATATACGCTATATTTTGATGTAAGTTGTGCAACCTAAAATTTTTAAAAACATATAAAAATAAACATTAACGCATTGTATACTGCATTGTATTAATGTACGAAAATGAATTATTTTACCTCTGGAGCTTTAAGACCTGTAAAACAGAACATTCCAATTTGATCAGTAATGTGCACCCAATTACGTGAACTTCCCAGCTTTTCTAAATTCTCTCGTAATTTAGTGCGCACGGAAATGATTCGATCAGCCATTGCTTTAACATCACGAAGCCATTCTTCTTTTAATTCTGGGTTTCCTAATATTTCAGAAACGATTCGCGCTCCAGAAATGGGAGGATTGGAATACATAGGTCTGATTATAATTTTAAGCTGCGACATAACAGCAGCCGCTTCTTGTTTACTAGATGTAATTAATGAAAATGCTCCAACACGTTCACCTATTAACAAAAAGTATTGTAAATCTTATGTATTATACCTTAATATTATTAACTTTTTAATTATTTGTTTTATATTACCGTAAAGTCCCATATTTTTTGCATAGGATTGAGCTAAAGCAATCTTATGTTTATCTTTTATGAACAATCTAACGGCTGATGCATCTTTATCAGTCGAACCTATAAAAATAGGAATATTAATAAACAATAATAATAATAACCAAAACTTCATTGTTACTAAAATACTTTACCCGAAGCAAATCCTTGATATGCCATATCAAAATATGGAAAGAGATTTCTTTTCTTTATTAGTGCAGACATTTCACTCCATTGTTCTAATTTAGGGTCAACACCAGTTGGATTGTGAGCACAGGCATGTAAGACAATTATTGATTTCTCAGGGATTTTCTGTTAATAAGATCATTATTAATAATGCAACAATGTTACAATTGCAGTATTTTATGCAACAACTTACAGATATATCTTCCATCAGGCCTTGAAAATCTAATCCAGAAGTATTTGGATCAAAATAACGATATTGTTTTACAACCAACCCAGCATGTCTAAATAATGGATTATGATTTCCCCATGTCGGTGTTGGAACGTGGACTTCTCTGTTACCTGGGAAGAATTGAGCCAGGAATTTGGCTCCAATGCACAGAGAACCTGTACCAGAAATTCCTTGAATCGTTGCATTCTAAAAGCAAACGAATATGGTTAAAAAAGTATAGAAAATTATTGATAAATTTATTTTTCATATACGTACTGATTCTTGAGCTAAGACTTCATTATTATCTCCTAATGCCAATGTAATACTGTGTTTACAAAATTCTGGGTTTCCTGAGATTGGAAAATATTCTTTATCTAAATTCTTCTTTTTAATGCTTTCTTCTGCCTAGAAAAATATCATTAATCATGTTAGTTTATTTTTACATATATATATTCAAGTTTATTTTGATTAATGTAGACAAAAAATATGACATATACCTTACGGACACTTGGAAGCACATGAGGTTTTCCATTGTCGTCTCTATATGCTCCTACACCTAAATTAATTTTATTTGGATTTTGATCTCTTTTATAAGCTTCTGTGACACCTAAAATAACATCTGGAGGTCCTAATTCCACATGCGACCACCATGACCTAAAATACATGAAAATAAATAATTATCAATAAAATAATTAACGAAACAAAAATATCTCTTTAAAGAGCAACTATATATAAAAAAACATACGCAAATTTTTATAAAATTCTGTGACAAATAAAGACAGTAAAGATTTGGTGAATTTCTTCCATGAGATAATGAAGGTTAAAAAGGTCACAATTAAAATAATTTCAAATACCTTACCTTGATCTAGAAATATTTAAAGAAAAGGCATATTGTTCGCTTCTGGACAATATTTTCGCCATTGACGATATAAGTTGAATATTGCTCTGTGCCATTTTATAATTAATAGAAAAATATGAAAGTTCTAAAATACACTTGTCGTTCTAATCAGTTCTGATCCAGGGAACACAGATTAATAAGGATGTAACAACTGGAAACAGATGCTGACGTTTCACTAGTCCCCGGTAGATCATGCGCGAATAAAATTATCATTTCAAATTTATCGTTATATGTGATATCACTTATAATTCTACTTTTGTGCTATTTATATTTACTTGAAAGTATTAATTTATCTATGTTTAACGATAAGATATTTAAAGATAGTCAAGAAATAAAATTTTAAAAAATATAAAAAGACCGATTATTATATAAGAGAAATATTAAACAAATATAATATTTTTTCAAAACCAGTAGTAATAAATTTATATATATAACTTATCATACGAATTGATATTTTTTTAAACTCGTTTACAATTATTTTATTCGGAAATTATTCTTAATAAAAAAGAATGTGAGAGAACTTTAGAAATACGGCCCTGAACGTTCATCTCGAACGTTTTTTTATTTTTAGATAATTAATAACAGTTAAAATGTTAGAAATTGAAATTTGAAATTTAAATTAATTAGAATAATATCCTCTCTCTCCTAATTTTCTGTTAGGAAATAAAATTCTCTTATAATTTCAAAATATTTAATAAACGTATAAGAATCCTACTTGATCGACGAATAATTTCTTTAAGATAACACAAGAGAGCGTGAAACTCCTATGTAAATATCCGTTTTATATACCACATACTCTTAGTATGTTATTTTTTTCGTTTTATATATTCTATAACAAGTGTTAATAATTAAACAATGATTTATTGTTTAAAACTCAAAAGATATTTGTCGAATTAAAAAAAACAATCGTCGTACGAATGTTACTTCTCTTTATACAAATTATTTCCATTTTACCGCAGTGCTGTTACATCACCAGAGTAACATGGACATATTAGTACAGTATATGTGAATATAACACAAATAAGAATGTAAAAATCAATTATTTGTATCATTTATTATTAATTTATTTTTATTTCAGAAATTATCTAATAATAATTTCTACGTAGTTATAAGTTCAGTGTAATGATATAATTATTTCGTTTCTCACTAATTTTTTTTCTTTTCAAGTCGCTTTCTTCTCATGTCAATTGTTTTATCTATAAACTTGTAAATCACATGACGCATGAGAATGCAATTTACAAAACCTGTCTATTAATTTATTCCTTTTTCCCCTTCTTTTTTTTTTATAGGAATAATTATTTGCCATCTTTCATATAGATGACCGGCAGAAGAATAAGTAAGAAGAAGAAATAGAAATCTAAATCTGTAAAAGACCATTGTCATTTTTATCACGATGGCGTTATCACGAATAAGTCGTTGTCCTGACTTGTTAACAGTGTTTAATCGCAACTTGCAACCAAGTACGTTGTTATATAAAATTGATTTAAACATTCTATACATATATACAAAGTGTACTTAGTAAATGTGCCGGATTGTAACGCGTTCCTTTTGCGGACAAGAGAAAATTTATAGCAACTGCATTGATCCTCTCTTGCAAAAACTCGCGCAACTTGATGTACACCATAACATTTTTCTCAACAATTTCTATCTGTAAAAGAAACCGGCTCGGTTACTAGGTACAGCCTGTACGTAATTACTCTCTTTATCATTATATAATAATTATTTCGAATATATGTGTACAGTTGGTATAACAAGTTATCCGATCAATACAATATTTCAATGGAAACGTGAAATGGTACCATCAAAAAACCAAATGAAGATTTTACACGTAACTAGTATACGTCGTTATCCTGATGCACCAACCATACCACTTCCAAATAACGTTTCGGAAATATTTGCCAACGAGACTGGCCGATTCACTCCGGAACGAGCAAGGGACATTGCAAGTCCTATTTTGATTTATGGTGCTAACAAAGTCACCGCAAACAATTCAGTAACGTTCTCGTCTTTTAGCGACAAGAATAAAACGTTCAATGAACAAAAGAACTTTTCCTTCGTCCGGGAAGACATACACGTTGATTCGTACGATTGTACAGGCACAGTCAGTTTAAATGGTAGCATGCAAAGTAATGTGCCTAAACCTTTCTGTTCAACTGGTAAATCGACTCATTTCAATATGCCAGGTGGACAATGGGCTAAGGATAGCAAATACATTGCCGAAGATATGCAAAAATCAAATTACAAATTATCCAGCACTAATATTTTATCTTCTAATCGAATTAAAAATGGTTAGCGAAATTACAAACAGAAATCTACATATGTTCAATGCATTATTTGATATGTGATAAAGATGTACTTTATTTAAACTAAATTTATTTGGAATTCATAATTTATCATGTATCTATTCGATGATTGATTAGCTATTCAATTTTTTTACTTATATAGGTTTTAATTTTACGACTTGAAAGATCAAGAAAAGATATTATTTTAAAAATAGCACAATTTGTTTTAACTTCCTTTTAATATAAGAAAAATCTATCCGTACAGTGCAAAGAGAAATGCAAGTTGTATGCACATTAACTTCTAATGCAATCGTTGTTTTGTAAAAATTGTTATAATCTCATGTTAAACTAGACAAATAGTATCAATGTTAAAATTTGTTATTCAGGTATCACGAACGAAGCCATTTTGATGAGTATGCTTGGTAATAAATTATTATATCCAATGTATATAAATCGTATGAGATACTCGACGAATTCATCGACAACGAATACTACGAATTCGAAGGATGAAATTGAAAAGAAAATAATACAGAGTAAAAAAGAAAGATTAAAAATTATCGTAAGGGATTATGGGAAAGTTGTTTTAGTATTTCACATAGCCATTTCGTTAGCGTCACTTGGATTCTTTTACACCGTTGTTGTTAGGTTTGTCGAATAATTAATTAATGTATACAACACATACATAATGAATACTCATTACATATCGCATTTTTAATATACAAAATGTGTTGTCTGATCATTTAAAAAATATTCAACGTTGTAAATATTAACTGTTACATTTGTTTTTAGTGGAATAAATCTAGAGCCTTATTTGGAAACATTCATTGATACCAAGAACGAAAAAATAATACAACTTATGAATAATTCGTCCGGATTTTTATTGGCATATGGTATTCACAAATTGTTTGCGCCAATACGATTATCAATTACTTGCGGTGTAACGCCATGGCTCATTTTATACTTACGAAAAAAGGGATTTTTGAAAACACCAAAGCTAAAAAAAATAGGATAAACTATCGCTTATAAACTTAAATAAACAATATAAAGAAAAAAAAGAAATAATAATAATTCTCTACGATGTTTATACATAAGTATCGACGGCTTTATTAAGTTTTTGACATATAAAATTAAAACTTCCATGAGTATTGTATAACATGCATGCGACACGTGGGTTTCGTTCGAATAGGAACGAAATAAGTTTTTGTACCTCTGCGAATAAATATCGCACATACTCTCAATAAATGCATATTATAAATTTGTATCCGTATAAAAAATTGATTTTATATTAAATATATATATAATTGCTTGCATACATTCATCTCGTTCATTACTATATTCAATATACTATAATATACTTATTTAGCAGTGTAATAAACCTGCACGTTACGCGTATTTTACGTACAATTTACTTAATACTCTATCAGCAAGCAAACATGTGATTCTCTCTCTCTCTTTCTCTATTGCAAGTCATACATATTATCAGCGTGAGAATAAAACTTGCGTAACGTACATAAGTAAAAGTTCGGCAGTTTTTAATGGACGAATTGTTAATAGTCTTGGAACATTGTGATTGAACTTGATTATCAAAAATTATTTTGATATCAAGTAAAGTTCATTTTACAAAGTATATTTTTTTATATACTCTTTGGTACATAACAAAATGATACTTGTAAAACATTTGATTAATAAATAGTTTTTCTAACAAAAAAAGAGAAAATAATAAAAAATCGATGCATCCATAATTTTTCATGGAAAAAATAACTACACTTTATAAATTTGTGCGGTATTTTTTTTTTAGCTTATCACCGCTATTTGATTTAGTATATAGGAAACATTAGAGAGTGCCAAGAAATTTGGCGTGTGCCTAGTTTGCATGTGTATACATATATATGTACACAATTCTTAAAAATTATACATACTACGATACATATACATGATTTAAAATAAAGGAGCTTTAACTATATACAATTAATTCTATAAGTAAACATCTTAATTCGAGCCACGCATAGGATTATTTTTGATCACGATATTATTCGTACCTGATTATTAAGATTGCCATCTTCGTATATATATATATGTGTATTAAAAAAATTAAAAAAAATATATAATCTAAACAAAATTAAATAGTCCTTGAAGTCTTTTTCTGAGTATTATTATTTCTAAGCAGTTTCTTAAAGAATTCGAAGAAACACGCTCCTTCGTGTTAAGCGTATTACATACTTGTCAGTTCTTTCTTAATTAAAATGAAACAGATATAATAAATGATTTATGTTAACCCATTTTCAGCGTAACGCTAAATACACAAAGCTCGTTAAAACTCTAGGATTTTTAACTCACAGTTGTTGAATGTTTGGGTTCGCGAAATATTGTTTACGGATGAAAATGGTTTAAATAATTCCTTAGCTCAATTTAATCTCTTCAAAATTTCTGTCACATATTAGTTTGAATCTTATAGAAAATATTTAATTTTTCATAATTTTTCTAATCAGAACATAAATCTAGATTATCATAAGATAAATAATATTTCATTTTCTTTATTTATCATATGTAAAATAAGAAAATAAAAATATCATTTCGTTATTAAAATCAGAGCTACATAAAATACTATTTTAAATCCTAAATAATAAAAATATTTTATTTTACATCATGCACATAGATTTTGAAAAATAAAATATATTATTTACTGAAATTTCATTTCTTAATTGAAATATTTTAATATGTCAATAGAAAAAATCTATTATTTAAAATAGTATTTGAGATATTATTTTCATAAATATCCATAGTTCTAGTTAGAATAGAAAATCTATTCTGAAGAGATTAAATAAAAATTTTGTATACATTTTAATTACAAAGTTGAACAGTATAAAAACTGCCTGTACCAAAAGTTTTCTTAATATAATATCTAAAAAGAGTTTAAAGCAGACATCGTGTAATAATACTTTCAAATTGATAAACTATCAGTCATTATATCTTACACACACGTGTCATGCAAATTGCTGTTAAAATAGATAAAAAGGCTTATGGACATTCAGAGGACGTGCATCGTTTATAAAAATATAACACTCGTTTGGCACATTACAAATTCTAAAAATGTCTTTAAAATTCTACAAAGGGTGACAGTCTTAACACATCGACAAATTTTTAAGCGTGCTTTGACTTCTTTTTTTTTTTCTTTGGAAGTAATCAATGCAATAAGCATATTTTATACATTATTCATCAATGAAAATAAATTTTTAATCTAAACGAAAATAATCGAGATCATTCGAGTTAACTGTCACCGAATATTTTTACTTCTGTTCTTCTTTATCCTTCTGCTCTAAGCATTATAATTTGTCAATGACAGCAAATAACATTGACAAAAGTCATTCTTCTTTCTTTCTTTATAATATCTTAAACACGATTAATTAATTTCACACGTACGCTTCTGTACGACGACCTTGCAGATGATTAAAGAATTGTCTCCAACTACTGAGCGTTTTACTAGACCATACCCAGAAGCTACTAGTAATACCAACTATCATTGCCATCAAATATTTAATCATGAATACTTCGAATTCTGGTCGTCGACCGAGGTCACGAGTACGCTCTCCGATAGGACAAGGCATCGAGTAAAGCGATTGTAAGCCAGGTCGCGAACACATTTCCATGTTCCAAGTTAACATCCATTGATCGAAATACGCTTGTTCGTAGAAAAGACAAGCAATCACTATGAGTGCTGGAACGGTATATAATACGGAAAAAATACCGATGCGGATCATTAACTTTTCTAACTTGTCGGTCTTTGTACCATCGTGTTTCATAACGGTGCGTATGCGAAAGAGAGAAACAAATCCGGCGAAAAGGAAGGCTGTTCCAAGAACTAAATAAACACAAAGAGGAGCTAGAACAAATCCTCTTAATGCATCGACGTTCCACAAACCTACGTAACAAACGCCGGATAATATATCACCTAAAAAATGATAAAAGTAATTTTACAAATTCGTAAACAAAAGAAGTTATCATATGTTGATATTTAAAAAATGCATTTGTACCTTCTACTTTACCCATTGCAAGAACAGTTACAGTTTTTATTGCCGGTGCTGCCCAAGCAGCTAAATGAAAATATTGCGAATGAGCTTCTATAGCTTCATGTCCCCATTTTAAACCAGCTGCTAGGAACCAGGTCAATGTGAGTATAACCCACCATATACTAGATGCCATGCCAAAAAAATAAAGCACCATAAAAAGCACGGTACATAATTCGTGCTTAGTTCCTTGCGTTATTGTTGATACCATCTGAATACGCATGTCAAGAGGTGGAGGAAAGGGCTCTCTACATGCAATAGAATTACCAGCTGCCCAACCTATCACATATGTCAATGCTACCATGAGATAGCATACCGATAGAAAAATAATAGGTCTCTCAGGATACCTGCAATTAAAAAGCAGTTAGAATGACTTTATTTTATTAATTAAAAAGAATGTAATAAATGTTCTACTAAGTAATAAGTAGTTTAATATTTAACTAATATATCTACCTAAATCTGTCAGTATCGATAAGAAATGTCAAGAATGTAAAAAAACAGGATGCTGCACAGAGAGATGCCCAAGTACCAACCCAAACTCTGGAGAAATTACGTTCCCTCTCAGTGAAGAACATACCGTCGCAAGGTGCACCACAGTTGGGTTCTATTTTATTCCCAACTTTGAGAGAATAACCCAAATCATGTGGGACCTTGAATTGCAAGGGACAAACAAAGCCAAAATCTCTGGCACCAAGTGCAAATCCATTACCATTGTAAGAAGTCGTTCCAGCACTGTTCCAAGGTGGCTGAAACTCAGCGACTGGCATACGAGGTGGAGAATATGCAGGTGCTGATGGTTCCACCGGTGCTGTTTCATTAGTACCAACACAAAGTTCTTTTCCATTTTCTGGCAATTTCGAACAATCAAGGTTATCTGGCCAGTTGAAACCAAAACTGTTCATCAAATCTTCACAACCGGCGCGAGCACTTTCGCAAAGAGATCTACACGGTGGTATAGCCTTCTCGATGATGGTGCAAACTGGTGCATAAACGGAGCAAAGAAAGAAACGTAGATCGGGACTACATTTGACTTTAACGAGAGGGGCGAATTGATGGACCTCGTAACCAGCCTCTTCTTGTTTCTGATGGTTCATCAAATTTGGCATAATGGTCTCATTGTAAGGTATATTCATGCAAAGATTAATTGTGATCGGTTCACATCTACCATGATGAGCGAGAGGATCCTTCGTGTGCAAAGATAATACGTCGATCACGCCCATCAATAGGACAATATAGATTGGCCCGAGGAAAAAGGGAAACATGAACACCATAGCGAAACAATTTGAACGACGCCTAAGTCGTCTATTTTTTAAACGTTTGTTTTATTTTTATACTCCTCGTCCACTTCACGCCAAGTTCCACACGATAATTCAAGGTTGCATTACGATAAAACCGGACCGAGAAATGTCTCCGATAAAACTGGAAGAAACTTAGAGGTTTCTAAGGATCGATCAGTCCAATCTTTGGCGTAATTTGCTTTCGAATAATTCTCGACGAAACCGCACTAGGAGGCTGCCACTGCTCACGCTCGTAAACAGAACCAATTTGACGCAATCGCTATAGAGGGGATACTATTAATTCTTCTTTTCTTCCTCCTGCTACACAGTCCCTCTTTTGGTAGAATATACAACTACCCGTGTTATTCGATATCCTTTTGGGTATTCACCCTGAATGCAACCCTTTCAAGGTTTCGTCGATTCGAATTTCATTTAAATTAGAAGACAAGTATCGACGTTAGCTTTTGAATGAAATTTCCTTTAATTATGACATCATTGTCACGTGAACAAGAACGCTACTACAATCCATTTTAACACAACACCGCCGAATTCAATTTCATTCTCTTTGAGAGCTTACGTATATTTAGAGGGCGCGGCGTACAAAGAAAGATTCTCGAACAAAGAATTGATTATTTCTATTTTTTTTTTATTATTAATTTTATGACTTATCAATGAAACAAGTTTATCTCAAATTTAAAAAAATATAGATACCTATGCTTTTATTTACTTGTATTTTCTTTTTCTTTTTATTAGAACAGGATCAACGATTGTGATGATTATTTTTGTAAAACGGGATTATTTTAGGATTGGTGTCTGATATAGAATTGATTATATTAAGTAAAATCGATCGGTTCATTTTGATTTTATTTCTTTCCCGACACATAATGCACAATACGTTCGCAGTCGTTAGTCGTAACGTTTTTGAGTTACCGCTAATGATCAGCGCAATTGATAATAATTATTACGTTTGTCTGTCGCAATATTATATCACATCGTACAGCGAATATTCAAGAGAGAAAAAATACATTTGCCGATTTATCTGTGGGATATCGTTTTAAAGAACGATTCAGAACTTCAATAATAAACTCTGAAATGAACGATAAGTCTTACAAAAAGGAACATTTTTGTTAAGTAACATATATTTTCTGAAACTTTGTTCAAATGCTATGCGACCATGATTACCTTAGATGATGCATTTATTACAATTAAATGATTTTTATTACGATTCTATTTAAAATTGAAAGTGCAGTCATAAACGTCAATGAATTCCTAATGTTTCCATATAAATAAATTCATTTAATAATAATAATAACTACTACCTAAGAACTTTCTGATTGTACAGCACGTAAAAGAAGCGTCAGAGAACATGGGGGTTGCTTTGACGAAAAATGATTTTTTTTCTGTGAGACCTATCATTTCTCAGAGTTTATTACAAATATCCTGAATCTTCTTTTATAATATCATTTATTATTTTGTTGATATATTCTCACAGATATATCGTGTATTTTCAACAAATACTTGGATACTCGCTGACGAAGCTCGTGCGCTTGGATGACTTTTTATGGTCATCTATGGATTTTGCACCGATAATCCTCCAAGTTCGGTGGAAAAATCCATTCAAAATTGAAGAACAAGTTTTAACTTACTTTTTTTTATTTCACTTTCTCTCTCTCTCTCTCTCTCTCTCTCTCTCTCTCTCTCTCTCTCACTTTCTCACTTTCTCTCACACTCATTCTCTCCCTCTTTCTCTTTCTTTCTCGTTTTATCGTAAACAAATAAATAATTTATCTCCTCGAAATACTCTCATCTCAAATCGTCGATACTCCGTTTAGGAGAGGATCAGCCTTACATTCTTATTATTAATAACACTTAAAATTCATTTACGGAAGATTGAAATACGTCGTGCGAGTCAGTTTTTCCTCTTCCTCCCTTAAGAGAATTCCTTTTTGGAATGATCTATAAACGGACGATTTTTTTTCTTCTTTTGTCGTATCGAATGAAATAAGTTATAGCGCGAAATTTGTATAAACTATTTTCATCGTTTCTATATTATTCCATACGAACGAAGAGTGAGGAAGCGTTGATGATGGGGGTGGGTTTTTCTGGTTGGACACTAGAGAATGATGATTATTCGAAGGAAGACGATTCGATAAAATATTTTATCCCGGTGCAATGAAATTACACTCATGGCTTTTTTCTCTCTTTCTCTCTCTCTCTCTCTCTCTTTCTTTCTTTCTTTCTTTCTTTCGCGTATATTTACAGAATAATCTAATTATTCGGAAGACGATTTATCAAACGGAGGAACGTCTTCCTGAGGAAGAATCGTATTTACGCTTCTCTTGTGGACGATATATTGAGAATCCATTTTGTACGCGGAGGGAAAAGAGCGCGAGTCTTTTCGGAAAACTCAAATTGAATCTATTGGCACAAAGGGTGGTGAGGTGGTGGGGCGAGGGCCGGTTGGCAAAGTATGCCTTTTTATCGGAAGAGCATTTATTTTTATTTATTTATTTTTTGTTTCTTTTTTTTTTATTATTACGAGCTTGTATGCGATAAAGAGGGACGATGTCAAGATCGTACGAAGATTTTGTTCGCTTGCCTTCTTTCTTTTTTTATTAACTTTAATTTTAATTAACGACGCGACCAGCGCGTATTCGTCTTTGTTTTAGTTTGAATTGTCCCGCTTTACTTTACTCACTCATTCTCTCTCTCACTCTCTCTCTTTCCCTTTTGTCTTTCGTTCTCTCGAGATAGTAGTCTAATTGTAAAAGTGAGTGGCCAGCAGACTTTATGTAATTTACCAAATTTCAAATTTCGTTCAGTCAATCTTCTCTCATACCTATTTTACATTACAGGGAGACTAACTAAGCTCGTCGGTGGTCCATATGGTGTGAATCAGGTAGCACAGGTACAAAATTTAGACCAACTTCAAAAGCATTTTAACAAGGCTGTCATTTGGATATTTTATTATTTACATTTATTATTGTTAAAAATAAAATAATGGCAGACCATTATGACGGTTTTTTAGAAAGTGCCAAAAAAAGTTAAATTTCAAATGTATTTTAACAAATCTGAAATTTTAATATGTTATTTATTATAGCATTAGGACTCTACATTTTATACGGCGGCCTTTTTTGTCAGTAATAACATCCCGGCAGACAGCGAAATCTAATCTATAATACTGATACAATAATATTGTATTATTGAGAGAATAGAGAAATAAAAAAGATCTCTTTAGTTTCTATATAGTATAGTACTCATATACATACGTATGCTCGGGCTGTAGGAAAGGTTTCGCTGTCGGCTGGAATGTTATTACCAGAGAATAAAATGTAGAGTCCTAATGCTATAATAAATAACATATTGAAATTTCAGATTTGTTAAAATACATTTGAAATTTGACTTTTTTGGGCACTTTCTAAAAAACCGTCATAATGGTCTGCCATTATTTTATTTTGAACAATAATAAATGTAAATAATAAAATATCCAAATGACAGCCTTGTTAAAATGCTTTTGAAGTTGGTCTAAATTTTGTACCTGTGCTACCTGAGTCACACCATATGGACCACCGACGAGCTTAATTAGTCTCCCTCTAATGTAAAATAATAAAATGAACGAAATTTGAAATTTGGTAAATTATATGCAGTCTGCTGGCCACTCGCTCTTAGACTATAGTATTTTGTTCGTTTTCGAACAAAGAAAATTTCAATATTCGCGTTTTTGATATGATTTTAATACGAGCGAAACGACCGTCATTAAGTTCATTAATTCGGATGCGTATAAAATTAACGAGGGAGGAGGATGAAAGACGACCGTGTGTCTTATTATCAACGGTTAGGAAAAAGGGTGGAACGATGTGGTTACACATCCTCGGCTTTTATACGTGAGACGCTGTTGATACGCATACGTTCGCGCATGAAATTTAATTTCGTAGGAATCGTAGCCTTGTTGATTGTTCTTTTCTTTTTCGTTCTCTCTGTCTCTGTCTCTACTTTAAAATATTTGCAGCCGATGCATCGATATAGAAAAAATGCATATTACGTTGGGATGTGTAACGGAAAAAAGTAACTACCGCGTTCGACATATTAGCACCAAACTTACCATCTAGTTCGGACGCATTTATACGCACGGAAGAATTCGAAAAATTGTATACATCTTTTTTTAAAACTCAATTTATCATCTCTCGTTGCATCGAATAAACGCGCACGGTAGTATTAATAATAATTAGTAATAGTAGTAGTAGTAGTAGTAGTAGTAATAGTAGTAATAGTAGTAGTAATAGTAGTATTAGAAGTAAACATTAAAATACTTTCGAGAACGTTCAAAAAATGGACAGACTTCCCCGGAAATGTATAGGAAAAATTTTAGCTTTCTTTCTTTCTTTCTTTCTTTCTTTTTTCTTCCTCTTCTTTTTCAACTTCATTGAAACACGCTTTTAAAATCTGTCATTTTACGTGTACGTATTATTTAAATAATTCATATCGCGCGATCTACTTTTCTTTTTCTTCTTTCTCTTCTATTCTTCTATCTTTACTTCCCTTCACTTTTATTCATACATTTGCGTATCCACGGGTATATATCTAACTACCTACCTATCAATCCTTCTAGCGAAACTATTCGCGAGATCCGATCGTTCCATCCAGGCTGTCAGTAAGTAAGTAAGTAAGTAAGTAAATAAGTAAAAAGGAAGTAAGTAATTAATAAATTAATTAATTATTAACTAACGATAATTAAGTTAGTTCGTAGATTGTATTTGGTTTTAACGTATTGTTCGACGCGCTTTTTAGGCCTTGATTAGCACAAAAAGAAAATATTTAAAGAAATAAGAAAAAGAATAATTATTAACCATTCTTTTACCCAGATTTAAACACGAATATTACTACGAACTGACAATCCTGGTAATAGATTAAAAAATGTCTTATTTAACGTGTGACTGAGATCCATAAATGCTCTCGTGCAAAGAGAAAATTTACCGTACTTTGTACTCGATCATGAAACTTTACGGTATTATTATTATTATTTATATTATAGCATACTCGAATATGACGTGCGGATACGGTTTCATTATATAATTGTAATTAGACAAAGAGAGATATCATGTCGTAATTATAGAGTGCGAGGAAAAATTATGTAGACGGAGCGAGAGGAACGATCGGCCTTGATACATAAATATATATATGCATATGTATGTATGTTTATATATATATATATATTTACGTATCGCGTTTTCGTCCTAATTTAGCAAATATAATTAAGATTAAACGGTATTTTTTCTTGTTAATTTTTCAGGTAGCGTCGCGTATCTCTCGTATATACACATACGTGTATTTTACATATACATACATACGAGTCGGTCGTATTTCTCGATTATTTTTGTTTGTTTAAAATACGTAGATAGTCGCACGATGAAATGACCGTAGTAGTCTCCGTATTAGGAAAAGAGACATCATCATAATCATTTTGTTGTTTGTTTTAAATTTCCGACTATTAACATCCTATTTACATCGTTTCATACGGATTTTTTTTTTTTTTAACTAGGATACGTATCGATCGAGACATAGTGAAAAAGAAAAACAAATTTACGTATTTACGACGCATTACGATCGTCGTTATATACGTTAATGTTTTCTCTTTGTGGCCAGCCCATAGGCTATTTGTTTAACGATAATAACGCTAAAATTAATTATAATTATTATAATAATAATCGTAATTATAAGAACAGTTTGCGAAATGAGACGTCCTACGTCCAGGAAGATACATATTTGGCACTAAGTGTTTCTCTTTCTCTTTATCATTTTTATATTTGTTTTTTTTTTTCGTTACTAATTATTTTTTCCGTTTTCTTTTTCCTTTTCGACGAAGCACATTATTGTGAATCGTATCGAATTCAGCCGCCCGAGTACTTCATTATTTTAAAACATCACCTAACATCTCTTTCCTATTTACAGAGAAAATAGTTTCTCGTTGATTGCTAAAATGGCAATACGAGAATGCGCGAATGATAAACGAGAGAATCCTCTTTTTTATCTTTCGAGGATACCGAGAAAAATCGACGAAAAATAATAATCTTATTCGATCTTATCAGAGTTAACGAGTTTCTCTAACTAATCGAATATCTTTGGTACGTGTGTGTCTCTTGTGTTTAATGTGTATATGTATAAGTATTTGTATATATTTGTGTCTATATATATATATCTATCGAGATGAGCTGAATTAGCTCGATCAAATTGGATGCCTCGATATTCTTTATACAACATGAGGTCTTTCAAACCGAATCACAGGAAGAAGATTATCAGTGGACGAAAGGGGTTGGCCTTAGCTGTTCATGACCGTAGATCGTCTTGAATAGCCTCTCCTCGTCACTGTTTCACCTTGAGCCTCGCATTCTCGTTTTACTCGATCTATTATGTCGGCCACCAGTTTTTCTTCCTTCTCTCTTTGCTGTTCCCAATCAGGACCTTTACCGATCTGCTGAAGATAGCACGAAATAATATTTTATCAATATTCCATTCTATATTGGGAAATAAATAATACACGTTGGTAATTATAACAGTAGACTACTAAATAGGCGAAAAATTTAGAAAAAATTAATGATTTATTTTCCGTTATGATCGTTTGTATTTGAAAATTAATAAAAAAATAAACAAATTGTTTTAAAAATCGACCAAATTCAATGATAAAACAACTTACGTCTGTCGTTTTCCTGGTCTTCTTGTTACTCGGTTCTTCTCTGTTTTCGTCGTTCTCGTTGTCGGAATGTCTCGCGCTCAGATGACCAATGTAACCCTTCCGCGATTTGAAGTAGGCATTACAGCTGTGGCACTTAAACAGCGGTGCTGGCTGAGTGACCTGGGTGGAGACGTGTAGCTTGTACTTATGCCTGTACCAACGGGTTCGAGACGGTAGCACCTCGCCGCACCACTTGCAGACTACGGAACCGTCGTTTTGAATGAGGTATTCCAGCAGCTTGTAAAATAACGTTTACTTGGTTTTTTCACTCTTTCTCTCTGTCTTTCTCTCATCCTTTTGTTCTTAACTCTGACATACGATATATCATTCAAACACACACAAACACATTCACGCGAGCCCGTATTTTCATTTTAATCATTTTCTGTCTTTCTTTTAATCCAACAATATGTCTTGCAATAATACCAATAGTGTTCCTTCAACCCTCCCTCCCTCACCTTCCTTCTCTCATAAATGTATAAAATTTGTCTAAAAATTAGCTAAGAGAGAATAGGTACAAAAAATAAATAATATGGCAAATGAACCAACCTGCTTTCTAACTTCCGGTTCGCTGTCTACCGACTCTGATTTCGGTAATAGCAATTCCCCTCTTTCTTCTTCGCGATCGTCGAGAAAATGAACCCCACTGACCACTCTTTCAGCCTTGATGTATGCACCCTTCGTCGACTCGGAAACATTTTCATCTTCTGACCTCGTCGTCGTCATCGTCATCGTCGTCGTGGTAGTCGTCATTGGGGCTGGTGCAACTGGCGGTGGTGACGAGGAGGACGACGAGGAGGTGCAGATCTCGAAGGTGATGTCGCTCGGTAAATTTGGTAGTTGATCTGTACGAATGAGAAAAAAGGAAAAAAATACTATTTGATAATTGCAACCAATTTCCAAATCCCCTTCTTCGAATGACGTAATTTTTTAATTTTCCTTTCTTTTTCCCCAACCTGTATAAAAAAATTTTGGAAATTTTATTCTTTTTCCTTTTATTATTAATATTTATAACATTTTTTTTATCAATGGTAATAAAATCCAAGCGCGCAAATCATTTTGTTCTCCATTTCTTTTTTTTTCTCTTTCACTCTTTTCATCATGTACTATCTTTCTCTCTCTCTCTTTCTCTCTCTCTCTCTCTCTCTCTTTCTTTCTCATTCATACTAATTTCAAAATTATTTTGCTAACCAAGGAAAGTGTTTGTTGCAAGAAAGAGAAACGGTCGGATAGACTATTGCAATGTATATCACAAAAAGTTACAAAGAAACTACAACTAGATAAAAACAAAAATAATAATAATAATAATAATAATATTAATAATAATAATAATAATAATAATAATAATAATAATAATAATATTAATAATAATAATA